AGATTTCTATTATTTATAAATTGACTTTTCGCAAAGAATTGTATTACAATTATTGAAAATAATTGAATTCTTCATAAAATCCAATTATTTTAAAAATTTTTCAATAAAAATTTATTTAAAAAAAAACTTAATTATTTTCAAGAATATTGAAATAAATTCTTCAAAACAATTCAATTATTTTCAAGAATTTTAATAAAAATCTTGCCATGAAATTAAATTAGGCTTTCAATACAATTTTAATTACATTCACTAAACTTTAGACATTTTTCACTAAAATTTTAGTAAAACTAATTATTTCCAAGTCACGTAATTAGTTATTTGTTAAATTAGTCAATTGTATAGTCTTAATTCTACAATGTAGTTCACAGTTTTCGTAAAAATATTAATTTAAACCCACTTTTGGAATAAAACGACAGTTTTAAAAATTTTTGTTAGCCTGTTTTAATATTGATAAACAAATGAGAAATTAAGAAATAAATAAATAACTAATTAAGTAAATATTAACATTAATTATAAATACTTTTCGTTATATATTTTATATTCATTTCACGGAAAATATTTTTTCTTTGTATTTATTGATGTGCAATTATTACCATTGTCATTTTCTTTTATCTTTGACATTTCAACGGTTTATTTTCTAAAGAAAATTCTGTTGTTTGTGAAAGAGATAAATTTCTTCATTTTCTGAAAGCAGTTATTTTCCTTTTATTTACAAACTCTTCGTATCACTTAATAAATATGAGAAGTCAGATTTCTATCTTCTATTTATGTTCAAGTGAATTTTCTCATTTCTGCCTTTTTTTCTTTCGTTGATTTTTGAAAATAATTAATAGGTAGATATGAAAATTGAAACTTATCGAATTTTAAATCCTATCAAATGACAATTAGCTTTGAATAATAAATGAAAATAATTTCAAGAGAATTCCAACATTGTGGTCTATAAATAATAGATGAAAACCTGTTTATGCGGTATTTAAACTACTGAATTTTCAATTCATTAATTTTTAATAAAACTTAACCAACTTGTTATTAATTAAATGATTGAAATAATTAAAAAATAATTAAAAATGCTAACATAATTTAATTAATATAATAAATAAAAACAACAAAGAATAATAAATTGAATTCAAGCGAATTTTAGTATAAAAGATCAATTTTCATTATTTCCAAAGTAAGTGAATTTTAATTAATTATAAACAAGACTTTTGGTAAATTATAATAATTAATTATTATAATTAATAATATTATTATCTTAAAATTATTTTATAGTGTATTATATTCTCTCAAATTAATTTAGTATTTTAGATAGAATTGAAGCTTCCGTAGATACTAATACCCTCAAGCACCCTATAAGTTTTATCAGAACATGAAATGTACAAAAACTGATTATATCCTCCAATGAGTAAAAAAAGCTTACCAAAAACAAATAACTGCTAAAAAATACGTTGGAAAAAAATAAAAAAATATTCCATAAATATAAAAATAAAAATAAGCTAATAATATAAATATAAAAGTATATTTACAAAAAAAAAAAAAACCCACTTGTTATGAATTTATTTGGATGTAAAGAAGATTTACTGAAAATCTCCTTCACATTCAGAGAAATGATGAAAACGAATTCTATCATACTATACAAAACCAAAAAAAAAAAAAAAATAGTACAAAACTAATTATGAAAATTTGGATAATATTCCAATTTCTTCTAAAAAATAATTCTATAGAAAAAAATTGAAATCAATATTAAAGGAGAATTTTTTTTCATACATATTACTTTCTCAAAAATAGTGAATAGAATTTTTCTTTCGTGCACACACAAAAGTTTTTTCTCAAATTAACTGAAAATCTCGTTGAAAGTAAAAAGAGTTGTTCTGACAATTAGAATTCACTTTAAAAGAGAGGAGAAAAAAATGTTCCACGAACACTTCTTGATTGATTTCTTTTCTTTTCTCTCCATTTTTTAAAAAGTAAAATCGTCGTTTTTAATAAAAACTTCTATAGTTAATAGAAAAACTTTATTAAAATAAACGGAAATGTCGTTTAAAATTATGAACCTATGCTAATGAAACTTGAATAGAGTTTCAAAATTCTGTTACCTATTCCTTTTAAAATAACAAAAACTATTTTAGATTGTTAACTATTCCACTTCAATAGTTGAAATTCACTTGTGTGGATATAATATTTTATATGCATTTAGAGAAAATAATTAATTAATTTCAACAGAAATTATTTGATATAAATAAATAAATAAATAAATATTTGAATTCAATTATATTTACAAATTTTTCATAAATTCCTTCCCAATAATTCACTTATTTTCATAAAATAATAAAAATTTTTTTAAGGAATTAAATTATTTTCATGAAAAATAATTAAAAATACATTTGAAAATTTGTAAAAATAATTGGTTCTAAAAAATTCGGAAATCGACATCACTATAAGGCTTCCTTTATGAGGAAGCAATAGAAAATAATAATTGATTGGAAAATAATAATAATTTTGAAAATAATTTTGAAAAAGTTACTGTAATAATATTCTTATAATATAAAACAATGATTTTATCACTCGGTCATCTTTAATTATTATTATAAAACATGAAGAAATCGATCACTCCGAGTCTTCGACTCGGAGCAATCGCTATCTTCATGTTTTATAAAAATATTCTTATCAGTTATTCAATTTGAAAATGTTTGAATTTAAAATTATTGAACATCTTAATTCTTATGAAAAAGAATATTGATTAAATATTTTATTTAAAAAAAAAAAGTTATTGATGTTTTCGAATAATTTTACAAATTAAAGAAATTCGTAAATAAATGTAACAGAACATTTTTTTGAGAAAAATTTTTTCCTTTATTTTCTAAAAATTTAAAAAGTTTCAATTTTATTATAATTAAAATTTTCAATTGACAAATAGAATAGAATATTTAATGTTTCTTTTACAAAAGAAAAGAATAATAAAATTGATGAATTTATATCAATGGAAATTTTTTCTAATTTTCAGTAAAATATTACAAAAAATTTTACTAAATCCGAATTAAATTTCAGTCAAAATTTGAACTTGGTAAAATATCCTCTAAAAATAATAAAATCTACTATTCAAAATTGTTATTTCCAGAATAACATTTTACTATTTACGAAAAAAAAATTTCTTTATAAAAATTAGAAAAATTTACTTTAACAATAACAGAATTTATTCTAAAAATAATAATATTTAATAACAAATTTTCCTACATTCGAAGAATATTTGAAAAAATTTTATACAAAAATTAACTGTGGAAATAGTAAAATTTTATAATTAAAATTAGTAGGAATTTTGACTAATTTAAATTAGAGAAATACTTTACACAATTGAATTCTTTTGGAAATTTCTATTATTCTATTGTAATATTATTATAATTATAATAGAATAATTATTCTATTATATTGAATTAAGAAGAATTTTTGAAAATAATTGAAATTTTGCAATGAATTTTATTAAAATTTTTGAAAATAATTGAATTTAATGGCAAATTTTAAAACAATTGACTTTTGCGAAAAAAATTTATGCAAATTCTATTTTAAATAATTGAATCAATGTAAAAATTTGTTTCTTGAAAATAATTGAAAGTTTGTGTAGAATTTTTTAAAAACTTAATTGTTTAATAATTAAATTCTTTCGGGAAATTTTATTAAAATAGAATATTGAAAACCATCAAAGTAAGAAAAATTTTTTTAATATAATTGAAATTTTGTCATGAATTTTATTAAAATTTTTTTTAAATATTTGAATTCTTGTGATAAATACTATATTATTTATGAAAATAATTGAATTTTGCAAATAAATTTTATTAAAATTCCTCAAAATAATTGACTTTTGTCAAATATTATTGTTATTTATTTTTAAAGATAATTGAAATGTTGAGCGCTTTTTTTTAGATTTTTTGAAAATAATTGAATTTCGTCGAAGAATTTAATTAATTTTTAAAATAATTGAATTCTTCTGATGAATATTGTTATTTATGAAAATAATTGTATTTTTCAACGAATCCGGAATATTATTGAATTTCGGCGAAGAATTTTTATATTTATAAAGATAATTGAAATATTGACGAGAATTCAACTTTCAAAACATCAAGGAAATAAATCTCATTTTTAAGAATTTTAATTTTTCAAGGTTTTGTCATGAAATTCAAGGTGTTTTCAAGGAGCAAAAAAAAATTTAAGTATTTTTCAAGGTTTGCAAAGTTTTCAAGGTAGCTGGACACTCTGATATTAATTGTAATCGTGGTTAGTAATAATTTTAATCGTAGTAAGTAGTAATTATAATTTTTGTTAATAGAAATTAGAATTTTATTCGTGGTTAGTAAAAATGTTAATCGTCATTAATAACAATGTTTAATCGTTGTTAGTAATAATTTTAGTGGTTAATAATAATTTCAATTGTGGTTATAGTCAAAATTTTAATTATGGTTTATAATAATTTTAATCGAGGTTAATAATAATCTTAATTGTGATTAATAATAATTTCAATCGTTGTTAGTAATAATTTTAATTGTGTTTCATGATAAATTTAATCGTAGTGAATAATAATCTTAATCGTAGCTAGTAAAAATTTTAATTATGGTAAATAATAATTTTAATCCTTGTTAGTAATAATTTTAATTGCGGTTAATAATAATAATAATTAGAATTTTATTCGTGGTTAGTAATAAATTTTATTCGTGGTTAGTAATAAATTTAATTATGGTTAATAATAAATTTAATTGTGGTTTATAACAATAATTTTATTCTTTTATTCGTGGCTAATAATAATTTTCATTGTGGTCAATATAAAAGAATGCATTTTAAATTTTTATAATGGTTGTTATTTTTTTTAATCGTGATTGTTAATAATAATTTTAATTGCCATCAAAAATTGCATTTTTAATCGTTTTTCCATTATCATTACATTACATAAATACCAATAGCTACATAAATGAAAATGACAATATGTGAAGATTAAAATAATAAGATAGACTTACCGAGAACAATCCACATGACAATAATATTGCCACCAGTGGCCACCATTAGGATTATCGCGTAGACAAGAGACCAGACAAGTTTTTGCCACCATGGAAGGTCAAAGGGTCGTTGTTGATTTGTGTGAAGACAATCCGATAGAGCATCACGAAGTAGCTCACGTTGCAACGATCTATCTAAAGCTTCTTTGAGTACCTGCAAAAGCTCACTGCGGTTTAATCCCATCAATAGCGTTACATTCTGATCTAGTACCAGGGCAGTACAATTATGCAAGTTCACCAAACTAACGCTATTCATATCTAATATTTCTCCAACTAGTGGAACGTTCTTTTTTTCTCTTTTTTCCTTCGTTTCTTTCTTCTTCTCTTAAAGTGAATCACCTTCTTATCTAGCCATTCTTTATTTTCCATTCATATATCATTTTTCGATTATATTCCTTCGATTATAATATTCATTCTCATGCGATGCTCTCTTTCTCTCTTATTTCTGTCAATCACTCAACATTTCTTTATTTCAACAATGGAATAAAATGTATATTTTTCAATTTTTTTTTAAAATGTAATTTTCGTTCCTTTTTTTCAAAACATTTTTCATTCGATTTATAATTTTTTTTGCACTTTATTTTTCATTATTGATTTTAATATGAAACTTTTTGAAGAAACTAAACATTTTCTTTGAATATTAAATTTATATTTTATTCTCTATTTCTTTCTTTAGTTGATTTTTAGATTTTTCTTCTCTTTTCAAGATCTTCTAATATTTTCATCTGTTGTTGTCATTCTGCTTTTAGATTTAATTTGTTTTGTTTATTCTTCGTTGATTTATTCTTGTAACATTTATTTACTTCTTCGTCTTTTAAATTTTATCGTATTTTTAATTTGATCAATTCTTTTTTTCTTGCTGTTATTAATATTAATTTTACTTCTCCTGTTTTTTTTATTAATTTTACTTTTTTTGCTTTTATTTTTATTAATTTTACTTTTTTCTGATTTTATTTTTATTAATTTTACTTTTTTTTGCTTTTATTTTCAATTTGACTTTTTTTGCTTTTATTTTCAATTTTATTTTTCTTGCTTTTATTCTTAAATAAAATATTTTTTACTGTCAATTTATTATTTGATAGTTTATTTATTTCCGTTTCTCTCAATTTTCAATTCGATCGTTTTCAAATATTGTTAATTTTAGTCTTTTTATTTTGCTTACTGCTGTCAATGTTTTGTTTTATCATTTTTTTATCACTTATTTTAAGGTATTTATTTTTTGTCATTTCTTTATTATTTATCATTTATTATTTTTTACACTCATTATTTATCATTTTTTTAACATTTGTTTTACAATTTATTATTTACCATTTACTATTAATTATTTCCAATTATTTTATTGTCAATCGTCTTCTTCATTGTATTTGTGAATTTTCTCTCTTTCTCTTCATTCTGAATTTTTTTTTTCTTTAATTTCTTATCTTTGTCTTTTGTATTTTTTATCTTCGTAATAATTATTTTCCTATATTAATTTATTTTTCGAATTAAAATTATCCCTGCCTCCCTATTTTTTCGCACAATATTTTCTGGCATTCGGTGATTCTTTTTCTCTCTTTGAGGAATTTTTTTTTTTTGGTTTTATTTTGACACTTATGAATTTGAATCGCTTTAGCTTGCTTGTGGTCTCAAATGTTTTGTAAGCATGTGAACTTTCCTGGATGTACATCCGTTCTGCTTTAAAATTCCCGTAGGTGTACTTATGTGGGTCAGAAACATACTCTCGGAACAACGCGTCCACAGCCAATCAGCATAAATTCTGATTAAGCAAAAACGATTTTGACTCGATACACCGCGATCCGCTTTCACATTTATCAAAGCATTTTGAATTTTCTTCACCGCAAAATTTGCTGATATCCATAATTTCTTGATATTTATCGGTAAACTTTTCCCGTTAATTTCTATACACATTTCAAGTTTTTTTTTTTATTTATTTTCACACTTCTAATCTCTTGGAAAAAGTTTTCTACCTTTTACTCTCACATCGTTGTAAACACTTTTTTTTCGCGAAGAAAAATAAAATATCGCACCATCTATTGTAATTAAACGAAATTTTTTCAATAAATTTACTTTATAGTAGCATCTCACAAAACTTTTTCGAAACTATTTAATTTACAAAAAAACAGAATTTTATACACAAAAATGTTTTTCACTTTTCAGATGACTGCTCCTCTCATGAAATCCCTTTTTTCAAATCGCTGAAATTAACGAAGTGAAAACAAAAAAAACTTTTTTTTTGCGCAGAATATGAATATACATAGAGGGGAAAAATAAAATTCGTTAGATTTCGTTTAGAAATTTTTAACAATAGAGTTTTTTGGAAAAAAAAATTTCAAAATGAATGCGATTTTCATGTTCTTCATTTTTTATTTATAAATTTGATTTTTATTAATTTCTTTTATAAATCTGATTGTTATTAATTTATTTATCAATTAATTTATTAATTTATTAGTTACCTTATTTATTAGTTAACTTACTTATTAGTAAATTAACTAATTTAACAATTAACTTACTAATTTATTTATTAGTTAACTTATTACTTTATCAGTCAACTTATTAATTTATTTATAAATTAACCCATTATTTTATTCACCAATGAAATGAATAATTTTTATTTATTAAATTGTATTTTTTTATAAGAAGAGTTTTATTTTTTAATTGTAAAAAAAATTAGCCCGTTGAAAGAATATTGGCAAATGTAACGCGCGTTTTTTGAAAATGAACTTTCAGTTCTATGGGATCTTTTGCCAAGAAGTTCTCCAGAGATACTGGAGTTGAAAAGCGCTTTCATTCAAAGATGCGTGCGCACACGAGCACATTTCACCCCCCTTAGTACCTACCCCCTCACAGCATAAACACACTTATAGTTGAAAGTGTCAGCTGATGGAATAAATACGAGTATACTACGACCAAAAGACCTTTCCGCACGTCAAAACACCACTTCCTTTCTCTATTTGCGCGCCATTGTTTTCAAATAACAATAACATATTATACAAAAACAATAAACTATGCTCAACACATTATTCCATTGCGCTCTCAAACGAATCTAATGAAAATAGACAAATATTATAATTATTTTCCTAAATGGAATTCTTGATTTTTTTATTGTTCAAAAGATAAAACAAAAAAAGAAAAATTTTCAATCTCAAGTTTGACTAGTTATTATAATGAATGTTAAATTTCAATCCCTAAAGACACTCAAAAAATTAAAAATATTACTAAGAAATTTTAATTCATAATTCATGCAAATTTGGCAATTTTCATTTAAATATATATATACTTAAATATTAATTTTTCTTTATTCTCACACCCAGAGAAAAATTTTGTATAAACCAAATATAATTTATTTAAGTGAAATAAAAATAATTTTCTCAAAGCTTACTAAATTATTTATTTGTTTTAAATAAAAACTTTATTTGTCAAAAAAATAAAAAAAAACTTTATTTGAACCAAAAATTTTATTTGAAACAAATAAAAAGTCTATATTTGGCTCTGAGTCAAATATAACTTTTTTGAATTTTTACTGGGTGTATTTATTTGTTTTTTCCTCATTTTAAAATGCTCATAAAAAATATTGAAATAATATCAAAATTATTAATTAATTATTAATTAATACACACTGAGAAAAAAATGTTTGTTAATTTAAAGAAATCAAATACTAAAACTCGTTTTATTTCAATAAAAAGAAATTATTTTCCCAAACAAAAACAGAATTTTTGATTCAAAGAAAATTTCTTTGATTTAAACAACTTTTCTTTTAGTCCAAAAATTTTTTCATTAAATTAAAGGAATTTTAATTAAATTCCTACAAAGAATTTTAATATTAAAATAATTGAATTTCTGCGTAAAAATTAAATTCCTACCAAGAATTTTGTTATAAAAATAATTAAACTTTAGGAAAAATTTTATTAAAATTTTCGACAATAATTGAATTTATCCAAAAGATTTTATAAAGTTTAAAAAAATAATTGAATTCTGGAAAATTTATTAAAATTATATTGAAAATAAATTGTAATTTTGAAAAGTTTATTAAAATTGCTCTGAAAATTGAATTTTTACAAATATTTTTTTAAAATACAGGAATAGAAATTTTATTCAAATTTTGTTTTTTTTAAATAATTAAATTCTTGTATAATTTTAATATTTATTAATGCAATTGATTTCTTGAGAAGAACTTTGTTTTAATTTTTTACAATAATTAAATTTTTGCGAAGATTTTTATGAAAATTCTTAAAAATAATTGCATTCTTCACAAAAATTGTATTAAAATTGTATTTTAAAAATAATTGAATTTTAGTGAAGTATTTTATTAAAATTGCTGAAAATAATTGGAACTGTTATTTCAAAAATTTAAATTAAACAATGTGCTTAAAATACTTGAATTATAATAAGGAATATTATCGAAATTTTTAAAAATAATTTAATTGTAATTCAATTATCTTTATTAAAATAAAATTCTTTAACGAAATTCAATTATTTTCAAAAATTTTCTTCAATTAATGGCTTTTAATATCTACTATTTTAATCAAATTTTCTAAAAGAATTCAATTTTAAATTTTTTTATTAATTTTTACACAAACATTTAATTAAAAACTTTTCAAAATACTAAAAATTTCACAGGAATTTAATTAACAAATGTTTTATAAATTTCTTCGCAATAACTCAATTATTTCCATAAATAATAAAATTATTTTTAGGAATTCAATTATTTTTATAAATAATAAAACACATCGGAGAATTTCAATTATTTTTAATACAACTTTAATCAAATTTCTTGAAAAATTTTATTAAAATACGTCAAAAGAATTTAATTATTTAAAAATTGATTGATAAAATTTTTTATGAGAATCAATGATTTTTAAAAATTTCAATAAAATTCTTGGCAAAATTTCAGGTATTATAAAAAATTTTCAATATCTACTATTTTAAATTTTCTAAAAGAATTCAATTATCAAATTTTTTATTAAAATTTTAAAAACTTATTGAATTCTTTCCAAAAGTTGTATTAAGATTGTATTTTGAAAATAATTGAACTTCTAAAATGAACTTTAATATTTATGAAAGTAATTGAATATTTGCGAAAATTTTTATTAAAATTGAACTGAATATAATTGAATTCTTAGAAAGAATCTTATACAAAATTTTAAAAACTAATTAAATCGTTACGAAGAATTTTATTAAAATTTTTCAAAAGAATAAATAATAATAATTTCAACTCTATTATTAATAATACCTATAATTAGTTAATTATCTAAATTAAAAAAAATCCCTACTTTCGTAGTGGAATATACACTGAATAATATAACTTATACATAACTTTAATTAAAAAAAAAGATTTAAAGCAAAAGTAATAAAAATCACAATGTTAATTTTAAAAAAGTTCCGTTTTCCAATTTATAGGTAGGCAAACTTTAGTTTCGAAATCCAAATAGGTACAGTTCAATTATTTTTTCCAATATTACACATGCAATCTAATTTTAATTTTTTATTTCTCACAGGTATTGTAAAATTTCATTGGAATTTGATTATTTTTTTTCTAAATTAAAGTTACCTCTAAACTATTTATAGAATTCAAACGGAAATCGAAGAGATCGTCAAAAAAAAACAAAATTGTTAAAAAAAAGTTTCATCTCGTCTTCCCTTTATATACAGATAGTTTTGTTTGCAACTCTATCCGCTGTGACGATACTTTATTTTCCTTTTTTTTATTTGACTAATTCTCAGTTTACTTTTAATTATATTTGTTCAACTACTTTTCGTAAATCAATGTTTTCAATATATGAAGCATTTAAATTAAAGCTAATCTATTTATCTGGATAAATTTACAAAGTATACATTTTTAATGAGAGCAGGAAAACATGATGAATAATTATAGAAATAGTCTTTTTTTTAGTTTACAAAATTATTTTTAATCTATAAATTTATTTTTAATATATAAAATTAATCAATTTGTTTATTTATATTGAAAATATTTATATTCAATATTATAAATTTATTTTAAACTTATAAATTTGTTTCTAATAATTTATAAATTTAATTATAATTTAATTTGTTTTTAATTTGTAAAATTAAATTTATAAAATCAAGAGAGACATGAGAATATTTCCGAAATTTTATTTGACACAAGTTTAATTTGATCTAAAATTTATTTGACATAAAATTCATTTGACCTAAAATTTATTTGATATAATTTTCAATTGACATAAAATTTATTTGACATAAAAATACATTTCACATAAAATTCATTTGGCACAAATTTTATTTGACATATAAGTCAAATAGTTGTCAAATTTGTCCAACTACAATTTTCTTGATATAATATCAAATTGTTTTCTTTTAAAATTAACGCCGATATTTTTTTCTCAAATGAAATTTATGTCAAGTGATTTTTACGTCAAATAAAATTTGTACCTAAAGTAATTTTTATGTCACATAAGAATTATGTTAAATGACCTTTAGGTCGAAATGAAAATTATATCCCATGATTTTTAATGTCAAATGTCATTTATTTGAAATGAATTTTGTGGCAAATAAAATTTTTCAATTGAAATTTATGTCAAGTGATTTTTTTTGTTAAATGAATTTTGTCTGAAATGAAATTTATGTTAAATATTTTTATGTGAAATAAGATTTCGAAAATATACATGCGTCCCAAAATTTAATTTATAAAATAACAGCTACCAAAAAAGTCAAAGTTTTCAATTATGAAAAAGTTACGAACAATATAAATTCGCATTCAGAAAAATGAGCAATTAAGTTAAAACATGTTAATTATCTGGAAGTAACGAATTGTAATTAACAAGTTGTAAACAGAGCTAATAAAAATAATCAAGAATTATAAGGTACGAAAGGGATTGGTTCATATTTTTTAATTAGTTTTTTAAAATCACATCAACTTCCAAAGCTCATTAGCGACTGTTGTAGGGATAAACTTCTGTATTTTCTTTTTTCCTTTTTTCCTTTTGTTATTTTTTTTTTTTTTTTGGTAAAACTTCCTGGATGATAAGTTTTTCAAATGGGTTAAAGTTTCGGAAACTAAAAGTTGTTTAGTGCTATATATAGGGACAAAGAAGGGAGAAAACTTTCCACAAAGCAAGTACAAAGTCTTTTCACTTCTCATGTGAAAGCGAAAACTAATCAGCTTTATTTCGCCTAATTATTCGATTGTCTTTATTCAGTTTTGTTATAATAAACATTGTTTTAATGCTTCAAATTTTCATCATATTTCTAAAAGTGCATATTATAGTACAGTATTATACAATATAATGTGTAGTGTATTTTACGATTGTTATATTGTTTTAGTGTTTAATAATTGTAGAATTAAGTGCGCTCTCGTGTTTATTTATGCACGTTATTACTATTCTCTTTGATTCAATCACATAAGTTTACTGGGCAATTAATCTTTGCAATTGATTTTCCAAATTTGTATTTAATATTAATTTTGTGTTTACATTATAGGTGAATTTGTCTTAATTATAGTTTTATTAACAGTTGTAAATATTTTATATTTTTTAAATATTTAAAATATGTTTTTATTTATAGTATATTTATAAAATATTTTTTAATTTAATATTTATGAAATATTTTTTAATTTTATACTTATAAAATATTTATTTAATTTAATAATTACAACATATTTTCTAATTTTATATCTATAAAATAATTAATAAACTTCAGAAAGTTTCAAATTAAGAATTTTAGAAAATAAATTGAATTTTTTAGAAAAAATATTTAAATATTTAAAATATTTTATATTTTTAAATTCTTCTCATGTAGATCTAGATAATTAATTCGATTTTAAATGTTTGAGAAATTCGGTTATTTTTTATTATTAAAAATAATGTATTTATAGAAGAATATTTGTTAAAAACACCAAAAAAATTTGAATTTTGGAAAATTTACAAATGATTGATGCAGGAATTCAATTATTTTTAAAAGTATTACTATTAAAATTCTTTGCAGAAATTCAATTATGTCTAAAAAATTTTTTAAATTCTCTTTTTTAAATTTTTAAAATATTTTAAATTTCAATTATTTTCATTAAAATAAAATTCTTCAACGAAATTCAATTATTTTCAAAAATTTTCTTCAATTAATGACTTTCAATATCTACTATTTTAATAAAATTTTCCAAAAGAATTCAATTATTTTTATAAATAATAAAACTCATCGGAGAATTTAAATTATTTTTAATACAATTTTAATCAAATTTCTTGAGAAATGTAATTATTCTTAAACATTTTATTAAAATACGTCAAAAGAATTCAATTATTTAAAAATTTATTGATAAAATTTTTTATGAGAATCAATTATTTTCAAAAATTTTGATAAAATTCGTGGCAAAACTCCAGTTAATATAAAAAATTTTCAACAATTCAATGATTTTCAATATCTATTATTTTAATAAAATTTTCCAAAAGAATTGAATTATTTAAAAAAAATTTCGATAAAATTCTACGCAAACGCATTTAATTACTTTTCAAAATAATAAAAAATTCAAAGAAATTTATTTAACAAATTTTTTATAAACTTCTTCGCAATGATTCAATTATTTTCATAAATAATTTTTATAAATAATAAAACTCATCGTAGAATGTCTATTATTTTTAATACATTTTTAATCAGATTTTTGAAAAATTTTATTATTTTTTGAAATTTTATTAAAATAAGTCAAAAGAATTCAATTATTTAAAAATTTGTTGTTAAAATTCTTTATAAAGATTCAATTATTATAAAAAATTTTTAATATTTTCCCAATGAATTGAATTATTTTTAAAAAAAATGTTGATACAATTCTACGCAAACATTCAACTATTTTCCAAAATAATAAAAATTTCACTGGAATTTATTTATTTACAAACATTTTAAAAAAATTTCTCCCATAATTAAATTATTTTCATATTTAATTAAATTCTTTTTGGGAATTCAATTATTTTTAATATACAATTTTAATCAAATTCCTCGAAAAATTTTCTAAAAATTCGTCAAAAGAATTCAGTTATTTAAAAATTTGTTGATAAAATTCTTTATGTGAATAAAGAATTTTCAATTCTTTATTATGAACACAGGAAAAAAAAAGTCTGACTCCGTTTACACCTTAAATTCAGCCCATGTATTTCACATAAGTCTGTCCTTGTTTAACGGGGCTGACTCCGTTTACACCTTAAATTCAGCCTCGAAAACAGGCTAAAAGTAAAACTTTTTTTTTAGTGTGAATGTTTCAACTTTAAGAAACATTCAATTATTCAATAAATTATTTATTTTTGTATTTAAATAATTGAATTCTCTTTATAATTTTCTAATAAAAAATGTTTTAAAAATGAATTTCAGTGAAAATTTTAAATAATGATAATTATTATTTAACTAAATATTAAATAAGTACATAAAATAAAATTAAGCATTAAATAAATATATTTTTTAAATATATTCTTTATATTTATACAGCGAAATATTCGTCTATATAATTAAAACCAGCATATTCTATATTTATATTAATATGCATTTTGGGCACAATTTGAGTCGAAAGATAATTTTGATGCTCGATTTTCCTTCTCTTGAATATCAGAATTTTCCCCCTATTTTCACTTGCAAATTTCTTATCTTTGTTACATCGTAAATCGATAAATTCTATATATTATTAACGTAAAGGGAGCTATGATAGTAATTCCACGATTTCTACACGGAAAATATTCATAAATGTGAATATAATAATTCGCAATTTATAAAAAGAATTTATCTAAATGAGATTCTCCTTTATTAAAGTATTTTAAAGCTTTATATTTATAGTTTATTTTTTTTTTTTTAGTATTTTTATTTTTTTCAAAGAGATTTTCTTTAATCCACCTGAAAGTGATTAGCAAAAACATTTTTTCTTTTTAGATAATGTCAAACTGTCATTCTCGTGGCATCTCAAGAGTCGTTGATGGGGAAAAATAGAATGGTCCACAGTTGCCTCAATTCTCCTCATTACTCGATCTAATAAAATGTCAACGGCTCTCGCAATATTTTGTCCCGTTGCTGCACTAGTTTCTATATAAACCAATCTGAAATTTATTGATACAATATTTTTTATTTCTATAATATTTTTTATCTATATTTATCCTTTTTTTTATTATGTATATTTTTATATTAATATAAAGTGATTTTAATTTTATAATTTTATATTATATTTATATTTTCATGTTATATCAATTTTATGATATTTATTTTTAATTAATTTTTATTTTTATATTTGCTTTTAAATTGTTTCCAAAATACTGGCGCAATAATCAATTGTTAATGAAATCGAGAAAATAAATTCTAATTCCAATCATGGTTATTCTGTTAATAATGTTAATTAACACTGGATACTGACGTACCCATATTTCGATGCCAATTCTCGTGCTTTGTATTCACTGATAACTCGCCTGTCCTCCAAATCAGATTTATTCCCACAAAGTATTACATCTGGACTTTCACAGTATGCATTATTCTACATTAAAAAATAAAAAGTCCCTCAATTTACATATAGTGACAAAACTAAAAAAATTCATAAATATGAAACTACATTTTTAATCCTAAAAGCACTTTGCAAAGTAACTTTTTTTTCTATTTCGTTTTTATAAGAAAAAAAACAAAAAAGAAGAAGAAGAAGAAGAAGAAGAAGTAGAAGTAGAAGAAGAAATTTAAAGAACATTAAAATTCGTACTAAATTACTATTTGTAAAATTTAATTTTCTCTAATTCCCTCATTTATCAACAAGCTAAAAAAACCTACATTCAAAATTAATTCTCCCATAATAAATTTGTTAAATCTATCATCTGAAAATTCGCACTTGGCATTCTATCATTCTGTCAATTTTCTGATAACATGATATATCACCACAAACATTAAAGAGTACATAAAATGAAAAATGAAGGTAGAGAAAAAATTATATATTTAATAGAGCACACACTAATAATTTTCCTATATGGAAAAAATTATTCCTCACTGTGCAGTTAACTTATCTGATTTTAATTTTACACTATCAAGTACCTTTATAATATTCTGGCAATAAAATAAAAATAAAATTCAGTTTTTATAGAAAAAAAATAATCCTTTAATACGTATAATAAATTAACTTTGTACCCTCAGTTGATCCAACCAATTTCGCACGTCTAAAAATGACTGCTCATTTGTCAGATCAAATAAAAGGAAGAACCCCATCGAATCTCGGTAAAAGGCTGTTGTTAAACTTCGAAACCTGCATAAAATAATATAATACTTAAGGCAAAACATATTTTACTATTTCTATTTTTATTATTATTATTAGTATTATTATCTTATTGTAATTATTATTTTTATTATTATTTTAAATATTTATTATTTATTTATTTATTATACATAGTCAGGGTTGCCACGCTTTTGCTCATTTCAAATTCCCTGACTTTTCCAGGTTTTCAAGGTAAAAAAAACCTATTTCTATATTTGAGAATTTCTTTAATTATTAAATTATTCGGAAAACATAAATATAACTTCATTTTTAAATAAATATTTAATCATGATTATTTTTTCATAGAAATTAAGATTATCAAAAATTTGAAATTAAATATCATATAAGAATATTATTATAAAACATGAAGCTTTATGTTTTATATTAATTTAAATACCCATAAAATTTTTCACAACAAATTTAATTATTTACAAAATTTTTAATAAAATTCTTCGCAAGAATTCAATTAATTTTACAAGTAATATTTTCAAAATCTAATATTATAATAAAATTTCTCAAAAGAATTCAATTGGAAAAAAATGTAATAAAATTCGTTGCAAGAATTCAATTATTTTCATAAATAATAAAATACTTTACAGAATTTCAATTATTTAAAAGAAATGTAATAAAATTCGTTGCAAGAATTAAATTATTTTCATAAAGAACAAAATATTCTTCATACGATTTGAATTATTTAAAAAAATGCAATAAAAATTCGTTGCGAGAATTCAATTATTTTTCTAAATAATAAAATTCTTCACAGAGGATTTCAATTATTTTTATTAAAAATTCTCCAAACGAAATCAATTATTTTTTACAATTTTTGCAAAAGTTCATTGAGAATTTTCAAATCCATTTGTTTACAATTCAATTTAACGAAATTTCAATTATTCGGAAATTCTTCAATTAATTATTTTGAAATTAGTTTTGAAAATAAAAACTTGAAACAATTTAAAAAAAAACATGCAATTAAACTTTTTCAAAAAAAATTAATTCTACAGAATTATTAGTTAAAAATATGAAAAATTCAAATTTTCAAAGATTTTAATTTCAAACCTTTTTAAAATTCAATTATTTCTAAAAATTCACGCTATAATGCTTTTAATATTTAATTATTATCTAAAATTTTCACTGAAATTCATTTTTAAATAAATCTTTTTTAGAAAATTCTAAGAGAATTCAATTAATTAAATACAAAAATAAATAATTTATTCTTAATCTTAATTAATCTTAATCTTAATTAATTGAATTATCTTGACAAATTTTAATACAATTTTGAAGAATAATTTAATTTTTCGAAAAATTCGTTCAAAAATAAATTAAATAATTGAATGTTGCTAAAGAATTTTTTAAGAGTTTTTAAATATAATCTAATGCCTGCGTGAAATTTTTATTATTTATGAAAATAATTAAATGTTTGCGTAGAATTTTATTAAAATTATTTTGAAAAAAATGGAATTGTTACAAAGAATTTTATGAAAATTTTTGAAAATAATTTAATTCTTTCAAAAAATTAAATTAAAAATGTATTGAAAATAATACTTAAATTCTAGTAAATAAACTGTAGCAAAGATTTTTAAAATATTTCATTCCCTGTAAAAAATGTTATTATTTATGAAAATAATGTTTAATTAATTGAATTTTTGTTAAATTTTTATTTAGCTATGAAAATAATTAAATATAGTAAGTAGATTTTAAAAATCATTGAATTGAGGAAAGTTTTCGAAAATAATTGAAATTTTGCCAAGAATTTTATTAACATTTTTGAGAATAATTTAATTTCTGCGAAGAATTTTACTACTTTTGAAAATAATTGAATTTATGCGATCATTTGTAATTGCTTCAAAATTCAATTTAATTTAGTGTTTTTAACTAAAATTCTTCCGTAAATAAATTATTTTTAATAATCAATTAAATATATTTAAAAAAAATTAACTAATTTCTGAAGAATTTGAATTATCAAATTTTTAATATTTTATTATATTTATTTTTTAAATATTTATTATTCTGAAATATCGTGAGATATAAATGTAATAAACAGAATTAATTAAAAAAATTTAATTTGTCTATTACTTATTATATATACAAAAGGCCATTTAAACAATGGAAGAATAATGGGAAAATTTTCCCTCAAAATAGAGAACAATACAATTTTTCATGTTGTTCTGTTTCTTTAATTAAAAGGGTAAAAGAGAAAAAATGATTTTAACTCTGGATTTATACAATTTTAATGTAAATCACAAAAGTAAAAACCATTTAAAAAGTGATTAACATTCTAAAAACTGCACTAAGCAGGAAAAAAATGAGATTTATTTCCAGTTTCTGTAATAATAAAAACTTGCGTGTATTAATTTGTTAAAAAGAATAAAAATAATAATGATAATAAAACAATTTTTTATTTGAACTGAATATAATATTTGTGACAAATAAACAATTTTATTTATAGTATTAATATATGAAAAATGTACGCATATAAAAGTAAAAAAAAATAAAATAAATTTTTTTGCATTTTTTTATAATCACTTCTGCATTTTAATGAAATATCCTTTTTTTTATTTATGTCATTTTTTTGTTTATTTGCAAAAAAAAAAAAATACAGCCGGAGGTGTAATAATTTAATTATTTTCTGTATTTTTCAATGAAAAATTTGTTGAAATAAGCTAAAAATTTACGTCCAATATTGTATTAATAATTAATATTTCATACGCATACATTTGACATAATTTGTTTATATTATTTAATGACATATTCATGGAAGAATATTCAGTAAATATCATGTACTGCGTGTATATGTGGGTTATCTAATATTTGTTTTATTCTGAATTTTATATTTATTTATTAATTAATAGACACTTTGTAATATCATAATTGTATGCAAATAATACCGTTCTTGGCCAGCTGTGTCCCAAAATTGCAAATGTACTCGATGCTGAATTCCATTTGCTGACATGTATGTCTATATTAAAATGAAAAATTTTACGAATATAGAAATTCAATGCGAAAACAATATTTATAAATTGCCAATAAATAATTTGTTGTGAAATTTTACTAAGTAATGAAAATTAATTTTGTTTCATTTCATACAAATTAATATATTGATTATTAAATATATATATTCATTTCAAAACTCTCCACTCTTGCCATTTACTAATTAAATTGTTCATATTTATAATTTTATACAAAAATTTTTATTAACTTAAAATATATGGGTAATTCTTCTGAAAATAGACATTTTTGAAGTCTTGATTAATTTCATAAAATCTACAATTTAATAATTATTAACCATTTTCATAGAAGCAAAATTTTTAAAGTTTTATAGTAAAAATTTAGCATTTACTTATCATTTAAAAAATTATTTCCATAATTTCAATTCAATTATTATTTTCTAGGATTTTTAACTAAAATTCATTTTTAAATCAATTTTTATTAAAAAATTCTATGAGAATTCAATTATTTAAATACAAAAATAAATAATTTATTCAATAATTAAATGTTTCAGAAAATTGAATTCTCAAAAAGAATTTTATCAACAAATTTCAAAATAATTGAATTCCTTTGTCAAATTTTAATAAAACTTTAAAGAATAATTACATTTTTCGAGAAATTCAATTAAAATTGTACTAAAAATAATTCAAATTCCGCAATGAGTTAAAGCAGAATTTCAATTATTTTTAATTTTTGTTTTCAGTTTTTTTTTCAATTATTTATAAATGATAAAATCATTTATGAAAATAATCGATTTCCTCAAAAGAATTTTATTATTTATGCAAATAATTGAATCCCTGTAAAAGTTTTTATTATTAACAAAAATAATTGATTTACTGTAAAAATTTTTATTATTTATGTAAATAATTGAATTTATTTTAAAAATATGTAAATAATTGAATTCCCGTAAAATTGTTATTATTTATTAAAATAATTAAATGCTTGCGTAGAATTGTATCAAAATTTTTATTAAATAATTGAATTCTTTTGGACAATTTTATTAAAATAGTAGATATTGAAAATCATTGAATTGAGGAAAGTTTTTGAAAATAATTGAAATTTTGTTAAAATTTTTGAAAATAGTTTAGGTTTTGAGGAGAATTTTATTATTTTATTATTTATAAAGATAATTGAAATTTTCACGAGAATATTTTTAAATTTTTTAACATAATTGAATTATAACGAAGAATTTTATTACTTTTGAAAATAATTGAATTTATGCAATCATTTGTAATTTCTCTGAAATTCAAATATTTTTAGTGTTTTTAACAAAAAAAAACACAAAAATTCAGAATTTTCTTATAAATTCTAAAAATTTAATTTTTTTCACTACTTTTAATAAAAATCTTCTGCAAAGAAGAAAAAACTTTAATATTTTTAACAATTAATTTTAAGCAAATTTAATTCTTATTCTTAAGTATATAAAATAAAGTAGGTAGTTTCAATAGAAAAAACCATATAATTGAAAAAAATAAAATAAATTAAAAAATCAAAGTTCAAAAGTACCACTTTCAGAAAAATCACCAATGTTTTTTTTTCAAATTAAAAATCAACTTCAATTTATATTAAAAATTTAGAATATTTTCGAAAAAAATAAATAAAAAATTCAACTAATAAAATCCACATATAATATTAAAATAATCACCATTCGTTTTTCTCTAAAATCAATTCCCACTGTTGAAACAAATCGTGAATGAAAAACTCCATCTGTATACTGATAAAGAAAACTCGTTTTACCAACTCCTGAATCTCCAAGAGCAAGAAACTTCAATAAATAATCGTAATCCATGTTTCCGCAATACGAAACTTAACAAAAATGGGCACAATGGTGATAAAAATGTACGTGAGTCAAATAATAATAACATACACCACTTGAATACACAGATTACACGACAACAATAGAAAAAAAAATAATAAATAAATATTCTCAATATTAATAAATAAAATAAAAAATAAATATAATATACCAAATCTAAAAAATATGAAAAACTAAAAAACAAAAATTAAACAACTATTAAACAAAAATTTAAAAAAGAAATTATTAAAAAAAAATATAAACTAGATATTAAAGAAAATTCAAGGAGGCATGAATTATTAAAGAAAAATAATTAAAATTCTACTTTCTATGTCTTTAACACCTGTTGCTTACGTTCACAGTTTTCATTTATACATTAATTAACATATTTGAGTGAAAACACTTTCTGGACAATTAATAACAATTAATATTTACTCAAAATTAATAAAACATTATCTAAGTGTAGGTATAATTGAACAATTTTTGAAATTTGTCTTTTAATTTTAATTTTGACGAAATTTTTCTCTTATGAAAAAAAAAACTTGATCCGCACGTTACACAAACAATAGCAATTATAATATTTATCAGCGTTGAAAGTAAATGTTTTACACACGTGAATGTTATCAGAAACGCAAATGATTGGTTAATTAAAAATTCAATTATTACAATTGTGGCGCGAGTATTTGAACGTGAGCAATGCTACCACAGCAAACATCAATGATCATAAATGGACAAAAAATATTTTCACTCATGTTGGTAGAAATTGCAGTAAACATCAGCTGGAAACATTTAAAATTACTTCATATGCTTCACATGTAAAATTTACATTTTTAAAAATAATTATGTTCATATTTTGATTAGTTTGACATTTTAACGAAAAGAAAAACATTTTCGAAAAGTAAATTAAAGTAAAATTACAACAACAATGGATGTAAATGTAAATGTAGAATATTGGTAATTTATAAGTTTTTGTGTTATTTCAAAAATCTGGTGTATCATAACCTATACGAGAGTGATATATAAATATGTTATTGTAGTGATTATGGTTAGATATGTTATAATAATTGAATGTTTCATTAACAATTTGTTTCAGTATTGTGTGTGGATATGAGAAAGAATTTTTGGATATGACAAAGGCAATTAAATCATTTGTACCGGATGCAGTCGTCACTGGTAATGATGGAAAAGAAGGTAATTCAATTACTATATTGTAAGTGTCCTTTTTTTATAAATTATTGTTTACTTATTTATTTGAAATTATAAAGCCCAGTTTAAAAAAAAAATAGTTATAAAAAATAAAAATTAAAAAAAATTTCCGTTTTTTAAATTGAACGATTGTGCAATATTAACAAAGGCATAAAAATTTTAGAGAATTACTTAACAAAGAATTAAATTTGTTTAATTAAAAACCCACGCAGTACATTATTTTCAATACTGAAAAAATTTTCTTTGATTCAAATATTCGATTAATGAAAATAAATGTTGTTAAATAAAAAGTTAATTAACTTAAAGGTGGGAATAAATATTTAGTTAGTAATAGACAAGTAATCGTTTATTTGAATCAAATAAAAAATTTTTTCGTCTAAATATTTCCATAAGATTTTTATTACAAATTGCGGAATGTTAGTGTTAACCGCATGTGACTATTGTCACCCAATTTTCTCCTAAAATATTAAATTCGTAAATTAAACTCGATTTTTATAAAAAATAATCTAAAATATGATAAGAAAGGGCAGTGAGGTATAAAAGTTTTAATATTTTCAAAATGAATCATTTTGAAACACTTTAAAATCATTATATTTGTGTCGGTCACTTCTAACCTCACTTTTTCTTTCACCAACTTCAAACTGTTTTATTATAACTAATTTTAAAAATATTAAAACTTTTTTAACATCACAGCTCTTCTTCATCATATTTTAGATCATTTTACAAAATTTAAGCTCAAATCATTTAACACATTAGGAGAAAAGTTGCCGAAAAAATTTAACAGCAATTGTCTGTTAGATCTCCAATGTCAATTTTTCAACAATTTTAAATAAATGAAATTTAAAAATAAAAAACAAATTGAGCCGATATTTTGTGAGGAAATCTAAAATATGATGAGGAAAGGCAGTGAGGTGCAAAAGTTTTAAAATTAATTATAAAACACTTTAAAATTATCAGTTGAGACGGTCACTCAAAGCAATTTCAAAGTGTTTTATAATAATTAATTTAAAAATTAGTTAAAATTTTCCACATCACCACCCTTGTTGATTATATTTTAAACTTCCTTAAAAAATATAAGCTCAATTTATTTATTTTTCAACCATTTTTTTTTTCTTAAAATAAAAATATAAATATTTTTTGAAGAAAATGGTTGAAAAATTAAATCAAACAGTCATGAAAAAATTATCATTGGAAATAAGACACATGCTGGTTATGTTAATTTATGAAAAATGTTCGCACATGATACGAAAAGTGTAAATAGAAAAAAACTTGTTTATGTTTCAGGCGCCTTTGAAGTATCAATTAACGAACAATTAGTGCATTCTAAACTTCAGACATTAGCCTTCCCGGATCATAGTAACGTGGGTGAAATTGTGAGAGAAGTATCTGAAGGCAATCCAGTTAGAAAAGTTGATAAGCAACAACCAATTGAATGCTCAATACAGTAGTAATTTTATCATAATTATAAAATTTACTTTTTATTCTCCATATAGACAATTTTATCAAAGAAACAACGACTCAAATTGTTTACATCTTAAAATCAACATAGCCTATTTTTAAAATTAAAACAACAATTTAAGTCATAACTTTAGGACTTAAAAGTCCTAAACAATAAAAAACTTAAAAGTCCGTTAAAAAAGGCTAAAATTTTAGCCTTTAAAGAAGACTAAAATTCAGTTAAAAACAGGTTAAAAATGTTTCTAACGAATTCTAATTTCTAATGTAAACGGTTTTAGTCGCAAAAGTGAACTGAAAGTAAGACTTATTTTTCTGTAGAACAATTGAAAAATAACTAATTTTATTAAATTAAAATTTATACTAGTCATAAAATTAATAGAAATAAAATTGTCACACACTATCAGTCGTAAATCAATTTCTCTCCAATTTTCAAAATAGAAGATTCATTATTCTTCCTGGAGAGATATATTCCAAATTTTAATTTTCCATTAAATTCTTCTGCTAGTGTTCTTAACGGTTCGACGGTTTTTTCACCTGTCGTTTGGTCAATACACACCATTTGACAACGATTGCACATACCATCCACCTGGAACATTTAATTAACTATTTTTATTTCTCTAGTCTACAATATTTTATTTTCTGTATTGTCCACAATATTTTATTTTCTATTTTATTTGTCCCTCGATCCTTTTAAGAGTTTAAAAGAGAAAATTATCTTCTTATTCAGAAATATTTTGCTTTTTACTTTATTATTGTTCAGGTAGAATTTTATTTAAATAAATAGTTTCTAAAAAAAAAAAAATTAATTTCAAACTGTAGAATTATCGTTACCAAAATTGCAGTTATTATCTACGTACATTGAAGTCACAATTTCCAATTCTTATATCTTTCCAGTTGATTTCTTGAAATGCGCTACATCCACTCACGACAATATTCCCTCTAAATCGATGCAACATTGTTTCCTTACTGCATTCTGAATCTTCTGGTAGTTTATCGTGTAACCAAAATATACTCGCTTCGTTAATTAGGAGATATTGAGCTTTACTCACAAACGATAGATCTTTCTCCTCTGGTTTGTAAAAGAGATTTTTTAATTTTTCATTTTACAAAAACTTTTTATTTAAAAAAAACTTTTTTTTTCTCCAAAAAATGGAGAAATTTACCTTTGTTTATAATTTTTTTTGTCTGTCTAATCAGTCTTAAATTTGGTCGGCCAAGTGATAAACTCAACCATTCGGAAACATCACTACCACAATCAATGCCTTCAATTTTGTGGCCACAAACTTTACCTCTACAAATAGTGCCATTAATATTCTCCTGGAATTGTTCTACTAATGATATTACGATAGAAGGCATTCCTGTAATTATTGAATTACAAAATTATAGAATTGGATCCAAAATTGTAGAATTGAATCCAAAATTGTAAAATCGAGTACAAAATTTTTTGAGTACAAAATTATTGCAGGGATCACAGTCGGTTTTTTTAAATGTAATTTTAGGTAAAAAGAAGGATTTTAATCTTCAAAAACACTGTTGACTTAAAATTATCAAAATTGCAAGGAATTAACAACAAAAATGTAGATCAAATCAAAAATTGAACTTAACTTTTGGTACGAATTTGATCTACTTTAGTATTAATTTGATACTTTCAAGAAAATTGTGAAGTGGATTCAATTAAAAAAGAAGGGGATTTTTCAAATTAATTAAATTTGAATAAAGTACTATAAGTTCATTTTAAAGAATTTTGACTACTTTCTTAATTGCAGCTTTTTAAATCAGATTTTTTTGTTCTATTTTTTCTGTTAATTATTAATATTTTTAATATGTTTTTCCAAAGTGTATACAATTTTTCAAAATTTTGAATCAAACATTTTTTAGAACGCTACTTTTGTTTCAAAATTTAATAAACTTTACTATATCAGAATTAAATTTCAGTAAAAATTTGTAAAATTTACTTTGGACCTGCTAAAATTTTCTTTAAAAATAGTAAAATTTACTATTAAAAATTTTTATTTCCAGAATAACGTTTACTATTTCTAAAGAAAATTTCTTTAAAGATTAGAATTAAAAAAAATTAATAAATTAATTAAAAAATATTTAAAAACTCTAAGAAAATAATATGAAAAGATTTTTAAGTTTCAAAAAACTACAATTTTTCCAAGTTAGCAAAAACGGTAAATTTTTGTTCTTCAACATAAATAAAAAATTGTTTAACTTGCAGAAAGAAAAGACAATTTTTGTAAGTTTTTCTTTTAAAAAAAAAGGATGGCCACAAATCGGGAAATTCAGGGAAAAGTCAGGGAAAGTAAAATTGGTCTGGAAAATCAGGAAAAAGTTAGAGAATTACATAAAAATTTCAGAAAATATTAAATTTCAAGGAATTCATAAAGAAAATGATGGATTTTACTGTTGAAAATATTAAAAAGATTTATTTCTTCTTAAATTAGAGAATAATTTTTCATCAAAAGTCCAAAAATAATTAGAAGGATTACATTGAAAATTTTCATAAATAATTGAATTTCAAAAGGTTTCAAATTAAAGTATTTGAAAATTTGTATTTTCAATAGTTTTAAATAAAAATTCTGAAGATTTTATTTCTTTGAAAAATTTAATTCAAATTTTTTCTCTAAATTTAAATTAATTAGTGACTGACTTTTTGGTTCTGAATTTGTAAATTTTACAAATAAATTAGTAGAAATTACTACTAATGACTGCTCACTCAAAAGTAAACAGTCAGTCACTAATTCAAATTAGCAAACATTTTTTCCACTAATTCAAATTTAGTTTTTTCAATAATTAAATTCTTGAGGAACTTTCACAAAAATTATTGAAAATAATTGATTTAGAAAAAAATTTTAGTTAAAAATTGAATTCTTGAAAATAATTTTTGATATCTCAATTTTTTAAAAATAGTTTAATTATAAAAATATTTATTTAATGAAAAATTTTTGAATAAGCGAATTTTCGTATATTTGAATTAAAAACAAGTGAATTTTTGACTATTTTAAGTGAACTTTCTTAAATTGAAAAATTTACTTTTTGAAGAACTTTAAAAATTATTAAAAAAATTGATTTATAGAAAAGAATGTTACATATAGTATGAATTCTAGAAAATAATTCAATTAAAATCTGGAAAATAATTTTGAAGAATTTACAGTAGCAATTTTGATGAATTATTGAATTCTAATAAATGATTTAAAATTTGAAATTTTTCTCTTTAGGATTAAGGGAAAAATCAAAATTCTGTTTGGAAATCAGAAAAATGTCAGAGAAAAACAGAATCAAATTATATTTTGATAATCCTGAAAAGGGGGGAATATTCAATATTTTAGGTGTTTTGAGGGATTTTATTAATTTAAGGGGATGAAGATGGGAAAAAAGCGGATTTGCAAAATAAGCGAAAAATCTGTGATCCCTGAAAGTTGTGGAATTATATAGGTACAAAATTATATAACAGTAAAAAATATTGAATATACCTGGAAACGACAATTCCATTTCATTTCTTTCAATATTAATCTCCGGTCTTATTAAACAAAGATTCACTTCCTGTTTTTGAGTTAAACAAACTCCAGTAGTGGTGACAATCATCCATTCTCTATCATACTGCAATCCTCTCGAATTAAGAATCCATGAATCACTTATTTCGAATGCAGCGCATGATTTTATCGGATATATAAATAAACGCTTCAATCGTACATTATTTACGTAATTTATTCGTCTTGAAATTTTCCTAACAAATTCTGTTTCTACATTTCCCCCTGAATTGATCATCTCATCTTCCCTCACACTCCTCCGAATATCATCATCATTATTATCACAATTTCCAATACTTTTCATAATATGAACATTATCATTTATTTGAATTTTTCTCCTATAAAGTCTTTCTCTTCTCTCCTTCCACCAAATTGGTATTTTTAAAATTTCCGGTTTAGATAGAAAACATTTTCTAATCATTGTCAATAATTTTTGAACATCTTTCAAAGATGACATGTAACCAAAAGAAATTCTGACACATCCGGTTGGTTTTCCGTTAATTAGATCCTTGGATCCACCGCAAGTATAGCCGGCGTCGTAATTTTCGATAATTGTCTGATTTGAAAGATTTAGGTGACGTTGACAAGCTCCGGGATTACAGAAACATCCGGTTCTCAATTGAATTTTGTAGAGAGCTGCCATGTTGAGAACTTCCATATAACCAACGTATTCGCCGTTTGAACGTAAAATATTAAAAGTGACAATTCCTCCTTGTTGAGTGTAATCTTCATAATCTGTGTCACTATAAATTTTTGCCACTGGATTTCCATTATTGTGATGTAAAGTTAAGAGAGAATGATGCAAATGTCTCGCGAGGGAAAAAACATGTCTCGATATATCGTTGAGAGGAATTTGTGAAAATACTTTGAAACCACTGTCAAGTGCAATAATCGAGAGGAACGGTAAAGTTCCATCTTCAAATCTAAAAGCAGAAAATCAGTATAAATATTTTTAAAGAATAGAAACAGGGTTGCCATGCAATCGGAAAAATCTGGAAAAGTCAGGAAATTTTATAAACCTTGAAAATACCTGAAAAAGTCAGGTAATTTTTATTGGAATCCTGGAAAATTATTGTTTTCTAATTGTGCTTATTCTTGAAATCTAATTTTACTTAAATATTTCAAAATTAATTGAATTTTAGAAGAGTTGCGTTTACAATTTTCATAAATAGATAATCTTCAAAATGTAATTTGAAATTTTATAAAATTTCAATTTTGAATAAATTAAATAGGAAAATTTTCACACGAATTCTATTATTTACAAATTCTTCATTTTCTTCGCAATAATTCAATTATTTTCATAAATAATCAAATTTTTTTACAGAGATTCAATTATTTTCGTAAATAATAAAAAAACTATCGATTTTCAATTATTTTCATAAATAACAAAACTCATTGAAGAATTTCAATTATTTTTAATACAATTTTAATCGAATTTCTCGAAAAATGTAATTATTCTTAAAAATTTTATTAAAATTCATCAAAGAAATATTCAATTATTTTAAAAAGCCTTCCCATAATTTATTTATTAGAATTTGAGTATTATTGTCAATACATTTTTAATTAAATTTCTTGAAAGAATTAAATTATTTTCAAAAATTTTCATGAATTCCTTTTTAACAAATCAATTTTTTTTCAAAATAATTTTAATAAAATTCTTTGTAGAAATTTAATTAATTTCAATAATTTATCAAAATTCAATTATTTTCAATATCTACTATTTTAATAAAATTTCACCAAAGAATTCAATTAGGTATTCAAAAATTCGTCTCAAGAAATCAATTATTTTCAAAAGTAATAAAATTCTTCGCAGAAATTCAATTATCAAAAAGTTTTAAAAAAAGACTTCAGAATTACAATTATTTTTATAAATAATAAAATTTTTCTCCAAAATTCAATTATTTTCAAACATTTTAATAAAATTCTTAGCAAAATTTCAATTATTTTCAAAATCTTTTCTCAATTCAATCAAATTTTTTACAGAATTTCAATTATTTTTAATACAATTTTAATGGAATTTCTCGAAAAATGTAAATATTCTTAAAAATAAAAATGTTATTAATGAAAATTTTTTATTTAATGCAATTCTTTTCAACAAATGAATTTTTTTTCAAAATAATTTTAATAAAATTCTTTGAAGAAATTTAATTAATTTCAATAATTTATCATAATTCAATTATTTTTAACATTTACTATTTCAATAAAATTTCACAAAAGAATTCAACTAGGCATTTAAAAATTCGTCTCAAGAATTCAATTATTTTCAAAAGTAATAAAATTCTTCGCAAAAATTCAATTATGGTCAAAAGTTTTCAAAAAATGCTCTTCAAAATTTCAATTATCTTTATAAATAACAAAATTTTTCTCCAAAATTCAATTATTTTCAAAAATTTTAATAAAATTCTTGGCAAAATTTCAATTATTTTCAAAAAGTTTCCTCAATTCAATGATTTTTAAAATCTACATACTATATTTAATTATTTTCTTAGCTAAATAAAAATTTAACAGAAATTTAATTATTTAAAAATTATTTTCATAAATAATAACATTTTTTACAGGAATTCAAGTATATTAAAAGCCTTTACTACAAAATTATTTATTAGAATTTAAGTATTATTTTAAATACATTTTGAATTTAATTTCTTGAAAGAATTAAGTTATTTTTAAAAATTTTAATGAAATTCTTTATAACAATTCAATTTTTTTCAAAATAATTTTGATAAAATTCTACGCAAACATTTAATGATTTTCATAAATAATAAAAATTTCACAGGCATTCGATTATTTTCAAAAAATCTTAAAAAATTCTTTAGCAAAATTCAATTATTTAATTTATTTTTAATCAAATTTTTCGAAAAATTAAATTATTCATCAAGATTTGTCAAGATAATTCAATTAATTAAGAATTTGTTGATGAAATTCTTTATAAGAATTCCATTTAAAAAAAAATTATTCAATAAATTATTTATTTTTGTATTTAATTAATTGAATTCTCTTAGAATTTTCTAAAAAAGATTGATTCAAAAATGAATTTCAGTGAAAATTTTAGATAATAATTAAATACTAAAAGCATTATGACGTGAATTTTTAGAAATGATTGAATTTGGAAAAGGTTTTAAATTAAAAACTTTGAAAATTTGTACTTTTCATAATTTGAATAATTAACAATTCTGTAGAATTAATTTTTTTCAAACAAACAAAAGGATTTGAAAATTCTCAAAGAACTTTTTCAAAAAATTGATTCAAAAGAACAATAAAAGTCACCGTAGAATTTCAATTATTTTTAATACAATTTTAATCGAATTCCTCGAGAAATGTAATTATTCTTAAAAATTTTATTAATATTCGTCGAAAAAATTCAATTATTTAAAAATTTGGATAATAATTAAATATTTAATACATTATACCATGAATTTTTAGAAATAATTAAATTTTGAAAAGGTTTGAAATTAAAATCTTTGAAAATTTGAAATTTTCATACTTTTAACTAACAATTCTGTAGAATTAATTTCTTTTTTAAAGTTTAATTGGATTTTTTAAAAATTGTTTCAAGTTTTTAATTTAAAAATAATTAATTGAAGAATTTCCGAATAATCGAAATTTCGTTAAATTGAATTGTAAACAAATGGATTTGAAAATTCTCAAGGATCTTTTGCAAAAATTGTAAAAAATAATTTCTTTCGTTTGGAGAATTTTAATAAAAATAATTGAAATCCTGTGAAGAATTTTATTATTTATGAAAATAATTGAATTCTTGCAACGAATTTTATTATATTTTTTATTAAAAATTAAATTCTTTTGAGAAATTTTATTAAAATAGTAGATTTTGAAAATATTAACTTGTAAAATTAATTGAATTCTTGCGAAGAATTTTATTAAAGTTTTTGTAAATAATTAAATTTTTTCTGAAAAATTGTATGGATATTTAAATTAATAGAAAACATGAAGATATTGATCACTCCGAATCGAAGACTAGGAGTGATCGATTTCTTCATGTTTTATAACAATTTTTTATAAGTTGTTTAATTTCAAAAAAGTTTGAATTTAAAATTTTAAATCTTTTGAAGAATTTTAATTCTTATAGAAAAATTATGACTAATTATTTAATTTTGTAAAATATAAATTTAAAAAACTGGAAAAATTCCGTTTTTTAATTCAGGGAATTTGAAATGAGCAAAAGCGTGGCAACCCTGAGAAAATTTAAAGAATTTACTTTTCTTTAAAGTCGCTTTTTTTACCTTTCGTGTAAATTTTCTCGTTTAACATGAAAACGAGTAGAGCTCAATGCAACATTAACAGTACCACCGCCGTAATAAATTTTCCTTAAAACATTTGCACTCGATTTTTTAACAATTAATGCACCGAGTCCAGTGGGATAACCAAACATTTTATAAAACGATAGACAGACAAAATCAGCTTTATATCGTGATAGATCCAAATTATTTGTACCAACATAAGCGGATGCGTCCAAAAATGTAAACCATTTATTTTTTTTACTGGAAGTAAAATTATTTAATGCATTTTGAGCTTTTTCAATCCACTCGAGGGGATATTTGAATCCAGAAAAATTGCACTGCGCTGAATAAACAAATAAAGAGTTACTCTTGGGATTTGAAATTTCCCTCTCAATGATTGTGGATTCTCTGAAAGTTTCAAAAGCCAAGTGATGTGGAAGGCAGACCACATGAGCACCACGATTTTTAGATATTAAATCTCTCATTCCAAGTACTGAAGTATGATTATCATGAAGGTAGATAAAATATCCATTTTTTGATTTTTCTTCTTCATCTTCTTCTTTTTGAGTTTCATTTTTGATTTTAAATTCAAATGTCTCGGCAACTAGTTTTAAACTTGCTGTTGCTCCTGATGTAAATATTACACTGTACTCATCGGATGATACATTAAAATGTTCTAAAATTCTATAAATAATATACGAAATATAAAAATCACTTTTGCACAATTTAATTGGTTAAAGAAGCTAAGCATTAAGATACTAGTGGAAGAGATTAAAAAGAGATTATAGAAAGAAATTAAAAAAAAATATTAAATATTTTATTAATCAAAAAGCAATATTGAAAAATGATACCTGAAACGAATTTGCTCAATTGAATCGTGAGTAAAATTACTTGTAACCCCAATTGAATGTGGATTAGCATAATTCGATGAAAGTAAATTTTCCGTTATATTTTTAATTTGTGTATTTGAATAAAGAGTGGATCCTGCATGATCCAAATAACATTCGTCTGTAAATCAAGAAAGTTCCTTTATTTACAACAAAAAATTTCATTTTTTTTATTTATAATATCTATTTATTTATTTATTTTAATTTACTTATTTATTTATTTGCTTATTTATTCACAACTAAAATAATAAAACAGCATAAATAAAAGAAAATGACATTTTCAAGCATACACAGTGAAAAAAAAATTTATTTGGTTCAAATAACCGATTACTTGACTATTATCAATTAAATATTTACTTGAATCAAATAATTTTTAAATTGAGTCAATTAAACGATATTTGCTTCAAACATTGTGAAATTATTACTCAAATACCGTTTAAATGATTTAAATAAAAATTATTTTATTCAAGTAAATATTTATTTGATAATAAACAAGTAATCTGTTATTTAAATCAAATAATAATTTTTTTTCAGTCCAGTATTATTGAAAAACAAATTCAAATTAAATTAGAGTGAAATTTAAGTCAAATTCAATATAAAAAAAAGAAGAAAGAAAAATGAAAAGCAAAAATTAATAAAAATGAATTAAAATCAAAAATGAAATTTAGAAATAATTTCGAAATAAATAGTCGTTCGTAAATAATTACATTACAATTTATTTATTTTCTATTTTCAGTTATATTCTTTATTGAATTTATTGGAATGATATTCAAATACAATTTAAATTGAAAAATATGAATTAAAATTTAAATTAATTTAAATTGTTTATTTTAAATTAATTTAAATTGAAAAACATTAATTAAAATTTAAACCAAATTAAATACTAAATAATTATAAAAAATAAAAAAATAGACGAAAGAATGAAATTTAGAAATTATTCGTGAATAATTACGCGTGTTGGAAAAATTACATTATTTATTTATTTATCAATAATTATTCTTTAAATTCTTAATTATCAAAAACTTGCAATGCCATCTATTTTCAGTTATATTTTTTATTGTATTTATTGAAATGAAATTCAAAAAATTTAAATTGAAAAATATGAATTGAATTTAAAATTTTAATTTGAAAAGCATAGAAAAGAAATTTTAAAAAATGTATTAAAAGAAAGAATAAAATTTAAAAATTATTTGTGAATAATGGCTCTCATTGTAAATAATATTACATTATTTTTTTATTTATTTAGAATTATACTTAAAATTCTCAATTGACAAAATTTGCAATGTCATCCATTGACAACAGTATTTTTCAACTGAATTTATTGAATTATTGAAATTGAAATTAATTTAAGTTGCAAAATATAAATTCAAATCAAAATGAATTTAAATTGAAAAATACAAATTGAAATTCGAACCAAATTAAATATAAAGCAGAAAATAAATAAAAAATTGAATTCAACAGAAAGAAAATCGAAAATAATTAAAAAATAAATAAATAACAAGTTAACTTAGAAATTATTTCGGAATAATCATTCATTTTGTAAATAAATACGGTACTTATTTATCAACAACTACTATAAATTCCTAATCAAGAATAAATTGCATTGTCATCTATTTACGACCATTTATTTCCCTCACTAGACTATTGTTTAGTATATAATACAAAAAGAAACAGAAAAAAAAAATAATCCAAACTCTCGATTGATAAAACTATTCAAAGATGATAATAAGAAATTAATTTTTCATTTACCTTTTAAACGAGAAAATTCACTTTCAAGAAAATTTATAGTTTCTTTACTGTAAACTTGAGAAAATGACAGGAGTTGTCTTACATCCATGCTGGATCACATTCACTGGGATATCTAATCTCAACTTATTTAAGTTGAGTAACTCTCTATTTGAGACATTTGACACTGGAATAGCTCAACAAGCAGATTACAAGTTAATATTATGGAGGAGAAAAATAAAGAACTTTTCACCACAAACATATATCGATCTCTATACTTTAAACGAAATTTTTTAAGGAGCAAAACAGCAAAACTAAGATATTTATTTTCAAAAATAAAATTCGTTTAAAAAAAAACTGTTATGTAAATATAAAGAAACTTGTCTGCTTGTATATTAATATTATGTGTTTCATGGACATTTGTTAGCGCACATTATCATAAACAAGTTTGTACACATGGAGAAAAAGTAGGATTAAAAATTAATCATTTGCGAACATTTACATAAGTTTGTTATACATACAGTAACTAATAATACACAGAAAAAAAATTTATAAGATTTATATAACCGACTACTTGTCTGTTATCAAACAAATATTTACTTGAATCAAATAATTTTCATTCAAATCAAATAAATTTGAAACAATAATTAGTTGAACCAATAATTTCAGTATTTGAAGCAAATGACTTAATTAAAAATTAATTTATAAATATTTATTTGATTACAAACAATAAGTAATCGGTTATTTGAATCAAATAAATTTTTTTTTCCGTGTATTATAAATAATATATTAACAGTTAATAAAAAACAATATTATTTAAAAGTTAATAAATAATATTAGTATATTAATATTACCTAATAATAATATTTATGTTTAAATTTTATAAATATTATTATTATTTGATATTAAAAGTACCTATATGATTACTAATTTTTGGTTTAAAAAAAATTAACAGTTAATAAAAAAACAATATTATTTAAAAGTTAATAAATAATATTAGTATATTAATATTATATATTAACTTTTAAATAATAATAATAATAATAATAATAATAATAATAATAATAATAATAATATTTATGTTTAAATTTTATAAATATAATTATTTGATATTAAAAGAACATGATTTCTAATTTTTGGTTTAAAAAAAAATTGGGATGCTGTAGTATATAACAGAAAAGAAACCATGGTTTGAAATATTGTTTCATGAGCTATTTTAAAACAAACTATTTAGTATATAATTAATTCTCCATTCTAATCCCTTCCCTAATGCACTTTCAAAGCGCGAGAACATGGAGTTATTTCAGTATGTAGTCTACAATATTTAGAAATGCCATCAAAATTATCTTTCTCTCAAAAGTAGACCCAATTTAAAAATTTTTTTTTTTTCATAACAAAATATTACAGTATCTGGATAATTAGTGAATCATTTCCGTAAAAAAGTGTAATTATTTATTTATTTGTGGAGAAAATAATTAAATGCGCGCAATATTGGAATATTCTACGCAACTACATCACTTTCAGTTTTAGTGACAATTATATTATTTAAAAAAAGAACATTCAAATTTTTTTGTATTTTTAATTTAAAATTTTAAAATAACTAATAAACTTAATTTTTTCAAGTGGTTATAAATAATTGCAAGTGGTTTAATACCGAAAAGTGCGAAATTAAAAAATTTACTGAGATTATTATAAAAATCTATACCTGGGAAAATTTTATTTTCTAACTTTTTATTTTCATTTATAGAAAATATAAAATTGGAGGTTATCACATATTGTACAACTATAAAGTATGATAAAGATTAAAATAATCAAAATATTTCATCTTTGATAGATGCAAAAATAGTCGCAAATTTATCTCACATTGTGAAATATTAATAAAAAAAACTTAATTTATAAACAAAATATGGACAATTTTTTTCGAACACTGACAGATTATTGTATGCCATAGAAAAAATAGTCTGTAGAAAAAATTTCAAACACAGTGTTAAAATTTTATTTTCTAAATACCATCACCCTTGCGTATTAATATATAACGAATTTTATAAAATTATCTCTTTAATTATTAATGCAGGAATTAATAAAAATAAAATAATAAACAAACTTACCGTATTCTTGAAAAGTTTCATTAAAGGAAAAATAAAAGGTGGGGGGCACTTAGTACAATAGTGGCGGTCCTGGTATAGACTGATCGTTTTTTTATAGTAACGAACTAAACGCGTGGAATTTTCAGACGATGGCATTATGGACTTTGAGTAATTAATGTTTCTGGGGTTTAATCTAATTTTAAGGGTTGAAAATTTTTCTTAATTTGCAGATTTGATTGACCTTCAGTTATAACGTGTTACTTCAAATGTGTTACACAAGTGGACGAGGTGGCCGAGTGGTTAAGGCGTTGGACTGCTAATCCAATGTGCTCTGCACGCGTGGGTTCGAATCCCATCCTCGTCGTATTTTTTTGTTTTTTTAACGTAGTTATTATTTCATTTGACCCTTTCGATAGTAGCCGGACATTAAAATACCACTTATTTTAACGGCTCTTTTGTATTTTTATAACTGAACTGGTACACGAAAAAATTTCTGGTGCAGCGGCGTCTGTACCTTAATTTTTTCCGTGTATGAAATGATAAATATAAAGTATAATATTTATAATATATTGTATTTATAATATATTTATACTTTACTTATTTATTTATTATTTATTATTTATTATTTACTTATTTACTTATTTACTTATTTACTTATTTACTTATTTATTAATTTAAAGAGCATAATAACGAACCTTATAAAGGGTTAAAAAAAATGTCAACACAATATTATTGACAGTCAATTTTTTATCATATTAATATTTAAATACTATTTTTAATGTGTCAACCTAATTATCTAAATAAAATGTCAGATTTGTACTTTTTTCGTAGAATAAGAAAAGAAAATGTATAAAAATACAAATTATGAAAAGTAAAGAGGAATAAAAAAATGGCGAAAAAAAATAGTGACAGTGACATTTTTGATAACTCAAATAGTGAGAATAAAAAGAACAATAAAAGCAACGAAAAAGAATTCAATAATAACGGAAATAATTCAAAAGGTCATAATTATACAAATATTAAAAATATAAGTATTAAAATTTAAATAAGTTTAAAAATATTTCTTTTATAATTAAATTATATTAAAATTTCTCTTTTATAATTAAATTATAATAAAATCTCTCTCTTAAAAATAAAATTACATAATAAAATCTCTTTTAAAATTAAATTAGAATAAAATCTAATATCATAAACTCCAGCTATCACACTTATAGGCACAACGTTTAATCCAGAAAAAGAGTTTAAAGAAATCATTGCTCGTCACGAAGCAAAAAACGTAAAAAAATTAAAAATTGAAAAAATAGATAGTGAAGAAATTAATTCTGAATCTAGCGAGGAATCACTGCTAAGTCATAAAATTTCTGAACACAAAGAACCATCTCAACAAACTGATTTTCATTTGAATAAAAAATATAAAAACACAAGAAAAAGACTTTTGAAGAATGCTGAACCTCAACCAGGTGCAAAATTGTTAAATAATTATATTAAGTAAATAATAATAATCATTAATAATATCGATTATCAAACGAGTCGTTACACGGAGAGAAATTTATAGTAGTGGGTAACATAATTGTGGTTAGGGTGACCATCTTTAATGCTACGTATACAGACAGCTATCTAGATAGTCACCGTTACCATCAATATCATCAGGAGTAACATCTTGGTAGTACGGGGTAGCATAACTATATTTTTTTTAGCATCTGGGATGGTTGGGAGTAGCATAATGATAGTATCGTGTAACATCATCTTTTTAACATCAAAATCTGACTATCCGTTTCTCTCAGTGTATTATTAAATAAACAAAAATTATTTTTACATAAATAATAATAATTAAACATAAAATGACTTAGGTACGTCAAGAATGCAAGATTTAAAAAATATTTCCGAATTAAATAACGAAGATATACAAAAATCCAATTCCATTAAAATTGATAATCCATTTTCTGATTTTTCACTCAAAAATTTAAAACTCAACAGTTTGGTAGTTAAAAATGAAGAAGAAATAACGAAGAGAATTAGACAAGAAGTTGAATTGCAAGAAACATTAAAAAATTCATCAGAAATAAATGATGAGGAAAATTGCACTGACAATGAGGACGAAAATAATTTCATAATTTCTTGGTCGTCTTCTGATTTAATAGGAATTAAAAAATGGAGTATTTTTAAGAAAACCGTGTCTTCCAATACAACCCTCAGTCAATTGTCTATTAATAACGATTTGGATAATGTCAGTAAAAAATCGACAAATACGGATTAGAGAAGAAATTAATCGTCGCATTTGTATTAAATAAATTAATCTTTACAAAAAAAAATTAATCCCGATTAATTCCAAACGAAATTTATATTACAACATCCGTTGGCGTTGTCTAAACAAAAAATATGATTATATATTTTATTTTATAATAAAAAAAAAAAAATTCCGAAATAAATGCTTTCAAAACAGGCTAGATGCATTTTTCATTAATTTATTGATACTTTAACTATTTTATTTCGTTGTTAAACAAAAAAAATGAAAAGGTACCACTTTGTCGGTCTGTTGCAAAAGTTGTTTTTGTTCCAAAATGGAGGGGGTGGAAAAATTCAAAACATTTTGATTTTTCACCTCCAGGGTGTACTAAACTTAAAACAACTGTCATCTGAATAACTTTCCAGAAGAACCAGAGAAATTCGCATTACAATCTTTGATTTCGATTTTCTCAAAATGAGGTTTCTAACATTCGGAACTTTAAAATTATATAACTCAGCGATTTTTGCACCAAATTGGACTTAAGACGCATCAAAATTTTCCAAATTTAACAAGGAATTTTACCATAAATAGATAAGTCCAATAGTGCCAAAGTGGTCCCTTTTCATGCGGACGTCCACAAATATGGGGCAAAATTCCTCAACTGCCCAGGTCAAAAAATGAATTTTCTCGAAACTTTGTTAAAATGTTACTATTATTAGTATACTGAAAAAAATTTGGTCCAAATCTTCAACTATTACCTAGTTGAGTGGAAAGTTTTTAAATTAATTACTTTTTTAGTTTTGCTAACAATTTTCGTGTAGATGATTTTACTACTTTTGATGTAGTTAAAGAATATAGTTCAGATGACTAAAAAAAAGTAGTTAAATTGCAACAACATCTACAAAATCTGATTATACCAATTACATTCTTAGTTCTTTTTACTACTTTTCGGTAGTCAATATAACTTTTTAAATTCTGTTGAGGACCTATTGAATCACGCAGAGTAGTTAAAAAGTAGTCAAACCTACTAGAAATTTTTTTCAGTGTAGAAGTGTAAATATCAATTTTTTTTAATTTGATAAAATATTTTTAGTTATGGAGTTTCAAAATTTTGACTTTTTTGAAAATATCTTTTTTTCGATTTAATATTTATTGATGAGTAAAATTAATCAAATTAAAAGTATATGAATAGTGATTTTTAAAGGGTTTTTCACGAGCTACAAGCTGGCGATGAAAAAAAAGTTGTTTTCTTTCAATTCGACCTTGAAATTCAAGGTGAAATTCTTAATTACAATATATCTCAAAATCGGTTTTTTTTTTATTTTTTTCTAACCTATCCCAATAATGGAAAGCTTACCTTCTTTCCTATGAGCCATGTAAAAATCAAAGTATGTAGAACATTAAAAATTTTTGCAAAAAATAATAATTTATCATTATTTTATATATAGAAAATGATTTATAATTATTTTCTTAAAAAATGTTCAAGGTCCCACTCTGATTTTTACATGGCTCATAGGAAAAAATTTTAAATTAGTTTAACTAAAATTAAACCTATAATTTGGGATGAGGATAAGTCAATGAATATTAATTTCTAAGGATATCAAATTGAGACAAAAAACGAATCAAAAGTGTTGCGCAGCAACGTTTTGATTCGTTTTTATCTCAATTTGATATCCTTAGAAAAACTGTGTAAAAAAAGCATCAAAGGCCCCGGGGGGGATTCGAACCCCCGATCCCCTACTTACTAGATTGAATAATTTGCTATGAAAATTTTACCATCTAACATTCTATGAATATTTTAATGAAGAAGTTTAAAAAAAATATTTAAAAAAAAACCACGAAAGGCCCCGGGGGGATTCGAACCCCCGATCTCCTGTTTACTAGACAGGCGCTTTAACCAACTAAGCCACGGCGCCTTGAATGTGAACGATTTTCCCACAACTGTACTTAAAGATAGATGAATTTTACAATTTGACATATCTTCCTATTATTATAAATAACAATAGAAAATAATCAATAATTCCAAATTTAAAAAATTTCAAGTTGAAAAATTATTTTCAAAAAAAATTAACGGCAAAACTTAGAAGGTAAAAAGTAAATATAGAAGAAAGTTACTTTACCTTTGCGGGTATCATGATATCGACCAATAAAAAGAAAGACGAGGTTTTTTTAGAAGAAAAACGAAAAAACAAGGCAAAAAAGACAAATTGTCACAAAAAAAAACGAATTGCGAATTAAGTACCAAAGATTGTTGTTAAAACCAAAAGAAATGAAATTTACAAAAAAGAAACATGACCCCGACGTGATTTGAACACGCAACCTTCTGATCTGGAGTCAGACGCGCTACCGTTGCGCCACGGAGTCTTGTAAAATTCGTTCCTAAATACACTACATCCTCTCCAATTTTAATTTTCCCAAAAAAAAAATATATTTTCCTATTACGTAGAAAAGTAAACAAAAATTGTTATCGAAATAAGGTTAAGTGATGACAAAGACCTCTTTAACAATACGTCGATTTGTAATGCTTATAGTTCTCAGAATAAGCACAAAAAGATAAAAATAAACTTTATTGTGAAAGAACATCTGTTCCCAGAAAAATTTAAATAATACCCATCGACATTTAATTTTTTAAACTAAAAAAAAAAAAAAAACTCAACACCAAATATTTTTGCCCACATGTTTCTGACGTATTATACCGAGTTTACGTCACATTACGCAATGCTACGTTCAAAGTGAATCGAATCGAGTGAAATATTTAATTGATTTCATTATATGACACGATTGAAAATTAGTGTTACGAATTATTAACAAATTAAAGAAAAAACTGCTTCACTATACAAGAAAGAAGAATTTTTTGTTTCGCAAACAAAAAAGTAAATAAAAAATAACTGTGAACGTTGCTTAAATCTGAATTGAGAATTGCACATGTGAATGCATCTTAAGAAAGACAATATGGCGACTTCATGGGTTTGATCAATTGAATATGCAGTGTGTTTTAATCTAATCAATGATTAATATTCGCAGTATCATTGTGTTATTTAATTTCGAGTTTTTGTGTGGAATTTGGAGTGTACGTGAGAAGACGATCGAGAGGTTATGATTCAATCAAGAACTTTGCTTATAATTCTACGGTTGGTGTTGCCTCCACGGCTGCGACATATCGGGATGTAGCTTTGCTATTTATGACAATTAAAATGGTCTAAATAGGATTATCATCAATGATTCTGTATAAATCATCGTATAAATTTATAAAATTCTATTTAATGAGGACCTCAGTGTCAACGAATTCATCATTGTCGCTTTGCTCAAGTGCCTTCAGCTTTATAGTTTAGTTCTCTTTTTCTCGATCACGTAACACTACTCAATTTCTCAGGTGCAAGTTGCAACGATTTCCACTTTTGCCTTATTTTTATTTTAGGTAAGTTCTTGAAAATATTTATTCTCTGTTTTACTACTGTTTTTTTTGTTATCTATTAGAAAATAAAGAATAAGTGAATGAAAGATGGGGGAATGGAATTTTCCATAATGGAAGGCCTAGAGAAAACATGTCATAGTGTCATGATCTTGCCATTATTTATTTGTTGTATATACCATTAATATTACTCACTTTTACGTCACTCTACGCTTTCCATTACCCACTCACAATTACAAAATTGTGTAAGAAATTGTTCTGTTAATTAGTTTCAATTTAATACTATATGTATCATTGTCGTGTAATTAAAAATTCATTATTTCGTTGAAGATTTAATTATAATGAAATTGAAATTTCTATTGAAATTATTGAATATTTATTAGTAAATATCGACAAAAAAAAGTATATACTTTTGTGATTCAATTTTAATTTTAATTCTATTGTTTCAGGTATAATTTAAGGAAATTATACAGGAATGTTAGAGGGCTTTTATTGAGAGATAAAATTTCTCGCTGGAAGATTTTGTTGTTTACTGTTTTGTGCGACCAAAGTACTTTGCTTTGGACCACAATTTACAGAAAAACATGTCCCAGTTAACCTTAAATACAGGAAAGCGAGGAAGAGGTGTTGCAAGCACCTCAGCTTCTGCTGTGACAGCATTAAGTAATTCTACTGACTTAGCGAGTCTCTTTGAATGTCCAGTTTGTTTTGATTACGTGCTACCACCAATATTACAGTGCCAAAGTGGACATCTTGTTTGCAGTATTTGCAGACCAAAATTAACGTGTTGTCCCACCTGTCGAGGACCTTTAGGTAACTATATTTTTTGTTTACCAAAAAAGAAATGAGAATTTGAAAAAATTACTATAAAGAAACAAGGAGAAAAAATTTAATCTTGTGTAGTAAGGAGTCTATTGTGCACTACACATATGTATTTAAGGAAGAATCCGACAAACAATCCGAACAAAAGTTAGTCCAATGTCATAATTTCGTATTTAAAAAAAGTCAAATTCTACCTTTTGGTAGAAGCGTAAGGAATTTAATTTTCTACATTTTGAACATTTTAAAGTTATATTTGAATAAAAATTATAATTTTTTGTCAATAATGAATGATTTAAGTAACAACCTAAAATTTATCAAATGTTTCTTATTGACAGAAAATTGTAATTTTTATTCAAATGCAGGGTTGCCACAAAAAATTAATTTTGTTTTTCCCTGACTGTTCCCTGATTTCCAGACAAAATTTTAACTTTTTCCCTGACCCTAAAGAATATTCTGATTCACTCTAAAAATTATCAGATACTCAAAAAAAAACATTCTATTACATTTACTTACGAATTTCTTTAATTGTAAAATTATTCGCAAAACATCAATAACTTCATTTTTCAATAAGTATTTAATTATTATTTTTCCCTAAGAATTAAAATTCTTCAAAACATTTAAATTCAAACATTTTTAAAATTCAACAACTTATAAGAATATTATTATAAAACATGAAGATATAAATCACTCCGAGTCAAAGACTCGGAGTAATTCATGTCTTCATGTTTTATAAAAATTTAGATTTCCATAAAATTTGTCAAACAAAAATTACATTCTTTATAAAAATTATAATAAAATTCGTTGCAAGAATTCAAACAAAAATTTTTCTGAGGATTACAATTATTTTTAAATACAATTTAAATTAAAACTCTAGAAAAATGGAATTATTTTCTTAAATTTGTTCCAAGAATTCAATTACTTTTATAAATTAATAAAATTCTCCGCAGGATTTAAATTATTTTTAATACAATAATTTTGAGTAAATTCTTCAAAAAATGTAATTATTTTCAAAAATTTTATTAAAATTCTTCGAAAGAATTCAATTATCAATTATTTTTAAAAATTCATGCTATAATGCTTTTAATATATTAATTAATATTCATTTTTGAATCAATTTTTATTGCAAAATTCTACGAGAATTCAATTATTTAAATACAAAAATAAATAATTTACTGAATAAATGAATGTTTCTCTGAATTGAATGATCATAAAGAATTTTATCAACATAATTGAATTTTTTCGAGGAATTTTAATAAAATTTTCAAGAATTATTAAATTTTTTGAGGAATTCGATTAAAATAATTGTATTAATTGAGATTCTATGATGAGTTTTTTTATTCATGAAAATAATTGAATCTTTGTAAAAAATGTTATTATTTATGAAAATAACTGAATTAATGCGAACAAATTTATAAAAAATTTGTAAATAGTTGAATTCCTGTGAAATTTTTTTTATTTAAATGAAAATAATTTAATGTTTGCTTAGAATTTAATCAACATTTTTTTTTAAATAATTGAATTGTTTTGAAAAATTTTATTAAAATAGTAGATATTTAAAACCATTGAATAGAGGAAAATGTTTTGAATATAATTTAAATTTGGAGGAGAATTTTATTATTTTTAAAGATAATTGAATTTTGACGAGAATTTTTTTTAATTTTTGAACATAATTGAATTTCTGCAATCATTTGTAACTTTTCCAAAATTCAATTTTTTCCAGTACTTTAATAAAAATCCCTGATTTCCCTGACCAATTTTACTTTCCCTGAATTCCCTGATTTCTCTGATCTGTGGCAACCCTGAAATGAAACTTTTAATCCTTTTAAATATTCAAAATTAAATTCTTCGCCTTTCCACCAAGACGAATTTAAAATTTAATTTGTGCTTTTTTTTTAAATTATGACATAGGACTAAGTTTTGATTTGACTGTCCGTCAGATTCTTCCTTAATTTATAAAAATGCTTAAAATTTAAATTTATTGCTTCCTCATAGAGGAAGGATTGTATTTTCTAAACTTTAATTTTGATTTTGGAATTAATTTGAATTATATTTATTAACTAATTTGAATTAATTTTAATCTTTATTATGACGAATTTAATCTCTGAGGGACTGTTTAAACTGAATGTCTCTGTTCAGGTAATATTCGTAATCTTGCAATGGAAAAAGTAGCAAGCAACGTTATGTTCCCTTGCAAATATTCGACGAGTGGTTGCACCGTGTCATTGGTGCACACTGAAAAACCAGATCATGAGGATGCTTGTGAATACCGTCCATATAGCTGCCCTTGTCCTGGTGCTTCCTGCAAGTGGCAGGGTTCTTTGGAACAAGTAATGAATCACCTTGTGCTAAGTCACAAAAGTATCACTACTCTCCAAGGTATGCTTTTACAATATTGATTTTTCTATCCGTAAAGAATTTTCGTAAATAATTTTCAATTATATATGTCCTAATTATAATCTCAATCTGAGACCGAAACGTTGTCAAGATGACAAAAAACGCACCTAAGCCTTTAAATTTTTGTCGCTAATTCGCAAGACGAAATTTGTCAATATCTATCAGTTAATCGGTAATTTTTAGTTTGTTTTCCAATCTAAAAATTGTCGGGCATTTTTCGTCGAATAGCAACAATGTAAATAATAAATTTACCACTTAATTAATTAACCGTAATGTATGAAACATTTTTTCTTAATTTTTAGGAGAAGATATCGTATTTTTAGCTACTGATATAAACTTACCCGGAGCCGTTGATTGGGTTATGATGCAATCTTGTTTTGGTCATCACTTTATGCTTGTTCTTGAAAAACAAGAGAAGTACGATGGTCATCAACAATTTTTCGCCATTGTTCAATTAATTGGTTCTAGAAAACAAGCAGAAAATTTTGCATATAGGTAAGCGATGTTTTATTATTCTCTTATAATATTATATTCTTATCAACAATTTATCTAGATATAGGAATTATAATTATAAATAGAAATTATAATTAAAAATAGAAATTACAATTGTAAATAGAAATTACAATTGTAAATAGAAATAATAATTAAAAATAAAAATTACAATTATAAATAGAAATTAGAATATAAATAGTAATTATAATTATTATAAACAGAAAAAATTCGGTTTATTTTTAATTATTAAAATTTTCTGAAAAAATAATCTAATTTCAGATTGGAATTAAATGGTCATCGACGACGTTTAACATGGGAGGCAATGCCACGATCTATACACGAAGGTGTATCGTCTGCGATTCTTAATTCTGACTGCCTTGTTTTTGATACGTCCATTGCTCAGCTTTTCGCGGACAATGGTAATTTGGGAATCAACGTTACTATTTCAATGGCATGAGGAAAATCTTAAAAGAAAAAAAGAAATTTTACTTAATATATAAAATACCATCAGTGCGATCTCTGAGAAATGTCTGGATAATTAATCTATTTCTTCAAGGTAATTTTCATGACGTACAATTATCAATTGAAAGAATATTTGTTTTTTTAAGAGAAAGCTTTGCGGATACGATTATGATAATAATTTATTATCAATACGCTCATTTTTAAACAATGACAACTGCAAAGCTTTAAAAAGTGTATATTTGTGATATTGTCATTCTAAAACTATACCTTTGTAATATACCTAGTGTGTGAAAATCTTTCATACCAGCCATAATAATTAAATTTTCACAATTAAGGTAATTCCATCATAATATATTTATATATATATGATAAAAGAAAGTTAATTTTGGAAATTTTCATTATTTTCAAAATCGAATATTTTATTGAAACTTCTGTTTAATAGGCGAAAATTTTGTTATTTTAAATTAATTTATAATATATTTAAAAAAAGAGCTAATTTATAATATTGACGAAGGTAAATTATTAAAAAATTTATGCTAAACATTAATTGTTTATTAATTTCTTAAAATAATGTTCTTACCAAAATGTAAAATTAGGCATAATAATTAATTTAATAAACTATATTAAATTGTGATAGTAAAATTTCTTTTTTTACAAAAGAAATTATTGCCGATTTTGAAATATAATTTTTTTCATTTTTGAAATTTCCATCATTAACTTTAAAAATGTATCTAATAAAGTGAATCACCTTAATGAAAATAAGGAAATACTTATTATGGTAAACGAGGATGAAAGTGACCAAACTGACTCAAGCTAATTTAAGGAAATTAATTTAATCACCATTAATTGTTTTCGCTAATTTGTCTAAGCACCACGTTTTTATAAACAAAAAAAAAAGTTTCTTGAAATCCCGACTGAAAATTCGCTTTCTAAAAAAAATTTGAATTTACAATAATTGTCATAGACAACAGGCATTCAAATCGAGAGTTTATAGAACATTTCTAATCTTAATTTAATAAATTAAGTTTCAATTTTAAAAAATTGAACACTTTTTAGAAAAATTATTATTTCGTCAATTATTTATTTTATAAACTGATAAAGAATTATTATTTGTATTCTCTACGGTAATTTTGACCAAAAGAAATTCTACAATTAATTTTACCAGAAAAGAAAAAAAACAATATAAATTATTTTTAATTTCATGTATTTCTAATTTTCTTGTAAAGAAATTTTTAGAATTTACTTTTTTCGGCATAATTGAAATTTTGGAATGAAAACAAATTTTTTTCCTTTTGAAATTTTACTTTTCAAAATTCAAAAAAATCATTTTAAAACAACTTTTGCATAACTTAAAAATTTTTAAATACTTTTCAAATACCAAAAAAAATATATTTGGATATTATGAAAATTCAAATGTGAAACGAAAAAATACTTTGCAAAAATATATATTAAAAAGAAAAGAATAAAAAAAAAATGAATAAAATGTAAATTTGAAAAAAAAATTTTGAAATACTTTGCATAAAGAGAAAAAAGCGCTCCTAAAATAAAGGGAACGCTTTTGTCCATTCTTACTTTTTCTAAGCAAAAGTATATAATTTTCTATTGAAATCTAAGTAATTGTAAACGATAACATCGATTTGAACAGAAATATATTTGTTAGAAAAATAAAAAAAAATAATTTCTTAACATTTAATATTAAGACAGAGAAAAATAATGTGCAGATTTTTAATAACATACACCATCTCTGCTTTGATTATAAAAATCTTCTTACATGAAAAAAAAATACTTCGTGTTCATAAAAATTATTAATAGTTAATTCTTTCATATGTTTAACAAACAGAAAAATATCAATTTCTAATTAAATTCAATTGACACCGGTTATAATATAGTATTAGTTTAACATATTTTTTATTATATTAAGTTAGCAAGTTGCTAGGCTAACGTGTTCTTTGAAAAGAAAAAAAGGATTAAGTCAGCACCTAGAATAAACTGAAAATACACACACACATACACATCACAAACAATTCCAGCCTTCTTTTTAATCGTAACGATTAATTAAAATAGAAAATTTTCATTAGAACTCGTGTTAAACACGAAGAAAGTAAACTATAAAAAGAAAATCAGTCCTTCTTGTAAATAGACCATTCTTGCTATGCGATGGTAATGTAAATGAAAAAAATTCCAAACTTAGCATTAGTCTAAGAAAAATTTAAACGTACGTAAGCGTATTTTAAAATGTATGCAACAAATAAGTTAGATATCCTCACAAACATTGAGTGTGAAGATATTATTTATCAATAGAACTGATTTAAATTATATTATTGTTCGAAAATCTTGATAACATTATGTGAAGACATTTTCAAATTTTTTTTCCAACAAGGGAAAATTGAAATAATTCTTTTTTTTACATAAATTTCAAGATGAAAATTGTATTAAATTGTAATATTAATAATATTAATAATAATATTAATATTAACAGTAATAATATTAATAATAATAATATTAATAGTAATAATATTAATAGTAATAATATTAATAATATTAATATTAATAGTAATAAAATTAATATTTATAGTAATAATGAATTAATATTAATAAAATATTATAAATTTGTCTTCACATTCTGTATTTTTACTAAAAGGAGATTTTTATCAGTAAAAATTATTTATAATTAAAATGAAACTGAATATTGCGTCTATTTAATAAAAAAAAAACTTTGTATGTGTTATTTACTTTGCTTTAAACAATTCTGTAAAAGAGCAATGTTTACTAATCAAAAATAAATTTCCGTTTTATTTTTTTTTGTGATTGATTTTGATATTTTAATAAGACTACTCTTTTGCGTTAAATATTTACTGTATACTAATAATTAATGTAAATAACTCAATAGAATTTTGACACATTTACCTGCGTTTTACTGCGATTAATTTATTATATGATTTTTAAAAATTGTGTTCTGTTGTTCAAAGTTGTTAAGAAAGATTTAAAGGGGAATTTTAGTATATTTTTCTCGAGGGTTTTTTTGGGAAAGGGAGATTAATTTAAAAATGTTTCTTCCATCGAAACACGACTGTTTAATTAATAATTGGCCTATTTATATTTCAATGAACAATAGACTTAATAAAATTATTAATTAATAATTTAAAATTATTATTAATATTAATATTATTATTATTAATATTATTACTATTATTATTATTACTATTTTTTAAAAGAAAATTTTTATGATTTGAGAATGTTCTGATTGAATGATTCTTACGTCGTAAAAAAGAAACGAAAAAGAAAAATGTCTTGTGGAATGGCTGGAGAATAAAAAGACAATGTAATATTATACAAAAATATGAACAATCCGACGATTGTTTATTAAATTTTGTAAATAGAAATTGTACGACAGGAAAATGTTCATTAATGTAAATGCATGAATAAATTCTTTTATAAAGCGCAAAGAATTGTTTTTTTTTCCTTTTTGTTATAAAAAATGAAAAAAGACCTAAAATATTTACTTTCCATTAACTGGGTGGCCGCTGGACCAGGAAAACCGGGAAATGCCAGGGAATTTTTTTTGACCGGGAAAAACCGGGAAATGACAGTGAATTTTTATCTTGACCGGGATTTTGCAAATTTTTTTTCTAAAACACTGATTATTTTGTGAGAAAAAATAGAAATATTTATTTTCAGACTTATTAATTTGAATTTAAATTCTTTCTACTTCTAACAATAATTAAACAAAATAGAGGTAATTTTAATTAAATTCGTCGAAAATATTTGAAATGAAAAAATTTCACGTTCTATGAAATAGTGAAAAATAAATCAATTTAAAAATTTTTTCTGCAATAATATTATAACAAAACAAATTTAAATGAGTAAAAATTTGAACTAATTAGAACAAAAGTAATACGAAATTTATAAAAATTATTTTTTAAATAATAAAATAAAATAAATAAAAAATAAAAATAAATTAAATTTTTTTTTTCTTTGAAAATAAATTTTTAAAAGCCCGTATTTTGCGGTTTAATATCAATTTTAGAGTAAACTAAAATATTTTTAGAATTTGGGAAAAAGTCAAAGTTTTGTCTAAAAATCAGGGAATTCTTTCAATCTTTCATATGGAATAATTTATTTTCAGAGCTATTCTTTATGAACGGGAAAAATAATTAATGACCGTGAATTTTTTTTTTATCAAAAAAGTGTCCACCCTGTAAATTAATAATAAACAATAACAAATTTCTATTATTTGTGTATTAAAAAAAATCTTCTAAAAAAACCGAAAACTAAAAATTATAGAAAGTAGCAAACATTTGAAATGAAAATTAAAAAAATCAAAATTAAAAATGTTTAAAAAAAAGGGTAAAATTATTTACCGTAATTCTTATTTTATTATGAAGGAAAAACTTTAATTTACGGGTGTGTTAAAATTTGAAAATACGCGGTTTGAATAGAATATTTTATCATAGGTCAGTTTTCCGACTGGAATTCAACCTAAACTGAGATCTCATTGGATCGGTATTATTTCTCACTGATACTGCGCAGATTTATTATTTTTTTTTTTACAGTACAGAAAACGTGATAGGAGACTATAGGAGCTGTTATAAAATCATTGTTATTAGATATATTACATTATTTCCAGTCTTTTTGGTTTCTATTTTTCACGCGACCACAGCCAACATGGAGTCATTTTCACATTTAGTTAAAGTGTCAATTCCAGATTATTTAGCGGGATTACCAATTCCAAATTCAATAGGAGGATGGTTTAGACTTGGAGGTAAAGAATTAAAATTATTAATAATTTGCATTGTCATCATTTTAATCGTTATGAAATATAATTGCAATGTGAATTAAAAGTGACCTAGAAGAGAAGATAAATTTTTTACTTTTACATTTTTTTATGATAGATTTTTTTTCTAGTAGAATTTTTAAAGAAAAAGAAATGTGACCTATATGCTTGATTTTAGTGAAGGATTGGCTGAGTTTAATTCCGCCGACTGCTATGTTGGCCGGGATAGGCTATATGTCTTATAAAGCATTTTGTCCTCTAGCTAGACCTCCAGTAAGTTGAGAAATTTTTTTCCACTTTACTTCTCATGTGACATTATTGCCTCTGATTATAAATTAGTAAATTACAATTCTTTGAAATGATAAATTTAATTTGAAACTTTTCACATTTTTGAGAAATGGAATTTTTCAAAATATTTTGAGTCAAATATTATTAGAATTTTAGAAAGAAAAAAATTTTCTCTTTTGGTAAATATAGAAATGAAGGCAGAGAATTTTTTTTATTCAAATATTTCTCATTATCTTTTAATAATAGATCATTTTTGAAATAATTTCTGTAATTTTGGTTTTAAAATGATTAATAATTAAATATTCATTATTTTAGCCATGTGGAATGATAAATCCAAATATTAAGAAGGATTCGAACAAAGTTGTGGATATGGTCGATATAGAAAATATCGCTGAGAAAGCAGCATTTTGTCGATGTTGGAGAAGTGAAAATGTAAGTAATTTTGTTTGGTTAAAAAAAATTCAAATTAAAGCATAAATAATTGTCAGACGTATTGCTTATTCGTTTTTAAATTCAGAGAGAAGAAAAATAATTCTATTGAAAAAAGATTATTACTGAAAAAAATAGTAAAAAAATTTCCTTTTTGCGCTTTTTGCATAAATCTCAACAAGTTTAAAAGCAGAAACTATTTTAATTTTAATTAATTTTTTTATTCTCTCCTCTTCTTTTCTTTCTCTCCTATTTTTATTGCTCTAGATATTTATTCTTGTTATTATCATTTTTCTTTAATTTAATGTAAATAAATTTATTTCATTGAAACATCATTTTCATTTACTTGCCTAATTTTACGCTTCTTTTCAGTTTTCAATTTGATTTTACTCAAATTTTTAATTTAGTTTAAGTTAATTTGCCTGCAGCAGTTTCTGTCAAAAATTAATAATGAAAACTAATTTTCAAAATTTTTTTCTAAAATTAACGAAAAAATTACTTTTCACTGATTTTTTCTGTTTGGAGAAAATTTTCTTTCATGAAAAAGGAAATATTAATTTAATCATTAAAATATTTGACATTTATTTTTCCAATTTTCTATCTTGTAATATTTTTTTTGGTCAAGAATAATTTAAAAAAGATAAGAATATCGTACATAGTTTAAAGGAGAACGTAAAAAAATATTTTTCGAATATAACATTTGAATTTAATTTAATTTTCTTTTATTTTAATTCACATTAAAAATTTTCAGAAACTTAACAAAATTTTGGATGTAATGAATATTAACTTTTGTCAAAAAACTGACGCAGGCGAATCGACCTTATATTTTCTTTAATATTTATTTGATCCCTTTCAGGCCACAAACATTGACAAGGGTTAGAAAAAAAGTAAATAAAATTTTCCAAATTTAGCGATTTGAAAAATACTACCTAGATCTTTTTGTCACATTCTTAGGCCTTGTGAACAAATCAGAAAAACACCAATTTGGTAAGATAAACTGTTCAGAAACAAAATTCACGCCAGTAAAATAATTTAATACTCAATTTGTAAAATAATTCCAGAAAGGAATTCGTCTTTTTGTTAGAGAAAATCTTTTTTAACTCGGTGAGATCACTTGCAAAGTTCCTTTTTAGTTTTCAGACATGTCACGAAAAGGAACAAGTCGTCGGAACGAAAATATTCTTCTTCTGATGGAAGGAGATATTTCCGACGTAAATCTCTCGTGCGAGGAGTCAGACGAGGAAAATGATATATTTATTCAACGTAAGGGAATTTTTACAGAGGCAATTGATGATCAACAATCGACGAAAAAATTCGGTCTCAAAATTGAGACAATTGGAGCTGAGAGTGACAGTGACACGGAAGATGATACACCATTGTCAAATCAGCTCCGCGTTAAATCACTACGTTGGAAATCGCGTGACATTAAAGTAATCGATTGCAATTGTAATATTAAATTTGCAAAACCAGTACCAGAAATTCCAGCCTTAAGATACTTCAAGCAATTCCTAACAACCGAAATAATACATCATCTAACAATTCAAACGAATCTCTATTCAATCCAAAAATCCGGTACTTCCATTAATGTCACAGAAAAGGAGATTGAACAATTTTTTGGAATTCACATTCTCAGTGGAATAATAAAAGTACCAAGTATCAAATGCTACTGGAAAGATCCAACTCGATTTCCAATAATTGCCGACTTTATGTCACAGAAACGATTCTTTGAAATACGAAACTTCATCCACTTTAACGATAATACAAAAGCAAAGTCACGTAACGATGAGAATTACGATCGTCTCTATAAAATTCGACCATTTATCGATGCACTGAAACGTAATTTATCAAAATTAAAAAACGAAGAATACAATTCAGTCGATGAGGTGATTATTCCCCTCAGGGGTCACAATAGTTCACTAAATCAGTACCTACGAGGTAAGACCTACAGACATCAAAAAAATCAAAAATGCCGCTACAATTGTCCCTGTATGGGTTTCAAAATGTTCGCAAGATTCGGAAAGAGTGGCATTCTCTACGATTTTGAATTCTACTTGGGAAGAGATGTACTACCAAGTACTTCCGGTCTTGGTCTCAATGGAGACATCGTTCTCCGCTTATGTGATAATCTCTCATCGAGTGAAAATTACAAAATATTAATAGACAGTAAATTTAATTCACATAGTTTAATTGTTGCCCTCAAGGAACGGGGTTTATTCGCCTTGGGTACAATTAGACCGTCAAAATTGCCTGGTTGTGTTTTTAGAAATTATTCTGAACTGAAAAAAAGAGTGAGAGGTGCTTATGATTATCGAACTGAACAATCGACAAATATTATTGCTCTAAAATGGTGGGGGACATATAAACCAATTTATATTGCATCGTCATATTCATCGATTCATCCAATGGAATCAATAGCAAGTTGGTCGTCGACGAGAAAAAAATTACGTGATTTTTCTGTACCACATCTTTTGTATGAATATAATCAATGTGTGGGAGGAGTTGATTTACATAATATGCTGTTAGAATTGTACAGAATTGATATAAGAGCAAAGAGATATTATTTGCGTGTTGTTTTCAATTTAATTGATTCGTGTCTTGTTAATTCATGGTTATTATATCGACGTCATTATGATCTAGGTGGCGTTAAATGCAAATCGCTATTGGATTTTCGATCTGAAATTGCGTACGGTCTTTTGCAAACAAGACACTAGTGGTTTAGTTTCTTTTTTTAATTTTATATATTAAAAAAAAATAATACAGAAACTATTTATTATTTATTTCCAGTCTGTATACTTTTTCGTTTTATACTTTCAGTTTTTCAGTATTTTCTTAATTATTTCATTAAATCTATTTTTCCAAAAAAAATTTTTAACAAATGAATGAATAGTTAATTTTTCATTTACTTATTAAAAATAAATTTCAGTTTATTAGATTATTAAAAATTTATAGAAAAAAAGACGAGTATATGAAAAATGTGATTTACTTTTAATCGAAAAGAATTCCCAGTCAATGTTGGCCTTTAATAAATAAATGATAATTATTTTTGTGATATATTCTAAATCTACTATAATTAAAGAAAAATGTTTCTTCTTTAATTAAAATCATTAAAAATAATGAAAGTTCATTTTCAAATAAGAGAACAGGGTTGCCACAGGTTAGGAAAAAGTCAGAGATTTTTATTAATAGTACTGAAAAAAAAATTAAATTTTTAGAATTCATAATAAAATTCTCAATTTTGGTGTCTTTTTTTGTTTGCCTCATAAAATTTTTAAAATGCATTTACAATTTTCATAAATAAATGAACTTTAAAAGGTTTTAATTTGAAATTTTATAAAATTTCCATTTCGAATGAATTTGATAAAAAAATTTTAAAGAACTTAGATTTTTGAAAAATTTTAATAATTCAAATTCTTCTGAAATGTTTTAAATATATTTAATAATAATTTAATAATTAATAATAATAATTAAATAATATTTAATATATATTTAATTATTTATTAAAAATAATAGATTTCAAGAAGAATTTTAGTTAAAAACAATTTTAAAAAATTTAATTTTGAAGAAATTACAAATATTTGGAGAAATTCAATTATTTTCAAAAGTAATAAAATTTTTTGCAGAAATTCAATTTTTTTTAAAAATTCTCTTAAAAATATCAATTATTTTTAAAAATAATACAGTAGGATCTTTCAATAGTGCAGTCGTCTCCAACATTTAATTATTTTTAAAAAGTTTAATAAAATTCTTGGCAAAATTTCAATAATTTTTAAAAATAATAAAATTTTTCTCCAACATTTAATTATTTTAAAAAAATTTAATAAAATTCTCCGTAAAATTTCAATAATTTTCAAAAAATTTCCTCAATTCAATGATTTTTAATATCTACTAATTTAATAAAATTTTTCAAAAGAATTAAATTATTTAAATAAAAATTTTGATAAAATTCTATAAAAACATTAAATTATTTCCATAAATAATAAAATTTGCACAGAAATTCAATTATTTACAAATATTTTATAACTTTCTTCGCAAATAATTCAATTATTTTCATAAACAATAATATTTTTTACACAGATTCAATGATTTCCATAAATAATAAAAGTCACCGTAGAATTTCAATTATTTTTAATACAATTTTAACCGAATTCCTCGAAAAAATGTAATTATTCTTGAAAATTTTATTAAAATTTTTGTAAAGAATTTAATTTTTTTTGAAAATTTTTATGGATATTTAAATTACTATAAAACATGAAGTTATCGATCACTCCGAGTCGAAGACTCGGAGTGATCGATACCTTCATGTTTTATAATAATATTCTTGTAAGTTGTTGAATTTCAAAAAAGTTTGAATTTGAAAATCTTAATTTCTATAGAATAATAATGATTATATATATATATTAATTTGAAAAAGTCAGGGAAAAACAAAATAAAATGTTTGTGGCAACCCTGGAGAATTATTGTACCAAAAAATAGAAATAACAGCGAATAAATCCTGATAGTTTATCAGGAGTGGTTTTAAATGTTTAAAAAAATAATAAATATTTATTTTCTATTTTGATTAATTTAGTGGCCATATTGTGATGGTTCTCATGGAAAACACAACAAGGAACATGGTGATAACGTTGGACCCGTTGTTGTTGAAAGAAAGAAATAAATGTAAGCTATATTATAAATCAAGAATAATAAAAATAACTGCCAAATTTTTGCAGCACGTTACATTAATTTGTATCATAATTTTAAAAAAAAATCCATTATTTATACACCTAATAAAATCGTTTTCAAATAATTTTTCTAAAAATTGTTCTGTGACGTTGATAACAATTGAAATAATACACCCGTATTGTTCTAAAAAAAATTATTTTCGGTTGGATAAATAAAAAAATTTTCTTTTTAATAAATAAATTAGTATTTATATTCTGCACATACACATTTTCATAAGACTCAAACCTTTTTAAACTACAAAATAAAGCATTCTCTATTTTTCATTCATATTCATAAATATATTAAATTTATATTTATCAATGTAGATTTTAAATAGAATTCTTTTGTGCATATATTTATACAAAAAGTTCAATATAACGAAAGTCATTCGGACAAACAGCTTTTCTAGATTCTAGAGGCAACACGTGAGATATTTATAGAAGTAATTGATAAATAAAGTCTATAGTGTTATTCGGAATGTCAAAAAATAGAATTTATGTAATTTTTTTTTACTGTTAAAATCTACACTCTTTAAAATGCAAAAACTCTTAAAAGAAAAAAAAGTTGTTTGACCGAATTTTTTTTGTGCGGCATCTACATTTTTGAGAGAATTATTCCATTCATGTGAAGAGAAACTATTACAGCAAATTAATAAATACAAAGAATACTGCGTGATTAAGAATTTACACGTACTTTTGTTCACAATGTGCAACAATTTTTTTTTCACTTTTTTTTTACAATCGATCAAAAGCGATCACTGAGTTTAAGCATCGATTTCCTAATATATTTAAATATATATATTTTTTTTATATTTAGTAGAAACGATGTAACTCCACTTTTTCGTAGAATTCATATAAAAAAAATTTGTTTTATTCTGGTTTTCAAAATTCTAAAATTTAAATTCAAAATTAAAAAAAATTTCTAAATATTAAAACATAATTTTCTTCTATTGAGAAATAAATGAAAATTGTATAAAGAGAAGAATTCTTTTCCTTCGCTTTACGAAAGAAAAAAAGAAAAATTTTAGTTTAAAAACTATAAAAGTAATAAAATTTTTAACAATTCAATAAAAAACTGTAAAATTAAACAAATTTTTTACGTCTATGCTAAATAAAAATAAATTATTTAACACAATAAAAAATATAATTTCTAACTAAAGAAAAAGAGGACTAAAAACTAGACTAAAGAAAGTTCTATTTTTAAAAAAGTATGTCTACTCCTTTAAAAAGATATGCAGAAAAAATGGAATTACAGTTCCTTCTAAATTTCAAGAAATTTTCAATTCTTGCACGAAATTAAAAATTTTCTTCAAGTGGTACAGTAATCACAAAAATTACTTTCTTCTCAGGTCAACAACTTCCACATTTGCCATGGGATCCAGTTTACAGTGTTTTGCTTTCTGCAACAACAAAAACAAAATAACTGAAATAAAAATGGAACAAGATTTGTAAAAATTTGTTTAGTGATATTTACGATATGGAAGAAATGAAATATCATGTATATGTTACTTAAAAAGTATTTGTACAGAAATGCATTTTGTTACCTAGTTGAATTTTTAGATAAAATTTTAATGAATTATAAATTTACTTTTTACAAATAATTTACTATATGTATAATTTACTTACTAGAAATAATTTACTTACTAAAAATAATTTACTTACTAGAAATAATTTACTAACTATAAATTATTTACTTACTATAAATAATAATTTACTTACTGTATAAAGAGGAATATCAGTCGGATGAGGATGAAATCCATTTTCTCTACAATTCGCAATAAAATCTAAACCATATTCTGGAGTAAGTATGAAGAATCCAGTTCTAAATGAAACAGGAAAATTTATTAAGTTACATATTTATAATGTTTAGATTTATAATTTTCAAAATTTTTATTTTTTTTTCTAATTAAATTTTTTTTTAAAAAACTTACTCCTCATATTTGGGTGCACAAACAATTGCAATTGCCTCGGCCATCAATAGCTGATAAGCACAGTGAGTATGAAGATCAACACTCGATAGAAATGCCGTTTGCGTTGGATGAGTCTAATTAATAAAAAAGAAAATCAATAATAAATTTGAAAAAACTAATACTAGTAATAATAGTAATAACAATAAAATAATAACAATAATAATAATAATATGAATAACAATAATAATAGTGATAATAAAAATAATAATAATAACAATAAAAAATAGTAATAAAAACAACAGGCCTCAGATATTATTACTTTTTTCGACTATTTTCGAATAATGCGACTTTTATCGGCTTATTTTCAAAAATTGCAACTTTTATCGACTTATATTAAAAAATTGCGACTTTTTCGACTTTTCTTCCAAATTTTTCAACAAAATACCACATTTTTAGTATAAAATTCAACTTATTTCAATTCTTATAGTGGGAAAAGTATAACTATATAGACAAATCTTTGAAAAGTTATTATTGAATAATTTTTCTAATTAAATTTTTGAAATATACAATTAAAAAGATTTTGAATAATTGAAATTTTGTAAAATCTAATTGAAATTAATAATTCTTTTCAAGTGTTTTATTCCAGTTTTTAAAAATTAACTTTCAAAGAATTTTTATTGAAAATTCTGGAAATAATTGAATTCTCAAAAATTAAATTTCTTCAAAAATTTGATAATTTTTTTATATTATTTAAAAACTCAATTATTTTTTAAAGATTTTATCAAATTTCAATTATTTTTCAAAGATTCCACCAAATTTCAATTATTTTTTAAAAGATTTTACCAAATTTCAATTTTTTGAAAATATTTTAATTGTTGGATAATTGTAAAAATATTGTCTTTCAAAAATTATTTAGAAATATTTAAAAAAATTAATTTTAAGAATTTCTTTATTAAAGTTTTTGAAAATATTCTACCTTAATAATCTTTAAAAAGAAAAATGGACAGTTTCAATTATTATTTAAAAATTGAATTTTTGTATTGAAATAATTGAATTCTCGAAGAACTTTCAGAAAATTTTTTTAAAATTAATACAAATAATTGATTTAGAGATGAAGTTTAATTCAAAATTCTAGAAAATAATTGAATTTTGAAAGGTTTATAGTTATAATTTTTAGAAATTAATAACTTTCAGAAGTCGAAATTTTTTAAATTTTATATCCCGTGAAAAAAGAAATAAGAATCATTTACATATTTATTTAGCAAAATTATTCGAGTTTTCATTATTTGAATTTAGAAATCAGTGAAGAATCAGGGAAATACAAAATAAAATATTTTGTGACAACACTGAATTAAATAAACAACTTTCTTTCTATTTTTAATCGACTAAAGCGATTTTTATGGCTCGATAAAGTCGAACCGAGGCCTGAAATAATAATACTTATTTTTAGAAAAATAAATTTTATAAAAATTCTTTTGAATAGAAAAATTTACGCACGTGCACCCATCCAAGAGTTATAAGATTATATTGATCCTGATAGTCGAAAATATCTTCTTCATTGTGTGTTAAACAAGAATCGGGAGATCCAGTTTGATGGGGAATTAATAAGTGTGTAACTATTAATTTATTTCTCTCTAATTTCCCAGCTAAAACTCCACAGGTTTCCTTTTGGCTCATTGTATTCGGTGCAGCGAGTCTCAAGAAACTATTCATCAATTCTTTCGGCAATACCATATCACGGAGGCCAAGTTTATCATCGTGAATAATTGGTTTTGTTGACCTATCAACAGATGGAATTTTTCTGCAAAAAAAATTAAATTCAATTCGTTAAATTCCTTAAAATATTTACAATTTTACAATAAGTATAATTAAAAATTACAGTTAAGAAAAAAACTATAGACTAAAATTGGTCTTGTCTATAATTAATAGAAAATAGAGAGAATAAGTGACAGTAAATAGATAAAATTACTTGTCCTCTGAAGATGTGACTTTGTTATCCAATCGAGGACTTATTGGAGTAGAAAAAGGAGGATATAGCGGTTTAATTGTTTTTGTATCGCTAGTTATCATGGCACCAGCACTAATTCCTATTTTTGGTTTCGATAAAGCTGCTAAAGATTTTCTATTCTCCACCTCTCGTAACCTTCAAAAATGAAAATTGAGACAAATTGTTACTTTGGAAAACTTAAAATACTGTAGAACTGTACACTTTAACATACTTTAAATACTATAATACTAAATACTTTAAATACTATAATACTGAATACTTTAAATACTATAATACTAAATACTTTAAATACTATAATACTAAATACTTTAAATACTATAATACTAAATACATTAAATACTATAATTTCATAAAAATAATGTAGAAATTACCTTTGTAATTCTTCGCGTTTAAGTCTTTCATTCTCAATCCTCTTCTTCTCCTCCATCTCCGCAAAATCCTTTCCATATTGTTCTAGTAATTTCTTTTTTAATTCTTCCGTTTTTGGCAAAACTTCCCGCAGTGCTTGCTGAATCCATAACTTGTCTTTTGCTATAATTGTATTGTATTTTGGATGTTCTCTTATTTTTTCCAGAAATATTCTAAAATATTAACATATTGATTTATTTACCTGAAGGTTGAACGTATTATAGTAAATTGTCGTCGACTTACATAGTATAAAATCATTTTAATAACATAATAGACAGAAAATTATAAACACAGATGCAAAAAATAAAATAAAAAATTAATATAAAATACTATTGATACGAATTGAAAATTGTATTAATATCAAAAAGTATATTATACACTTACGTTAAAAATTTCATATAAAGAGTGTAAGCATGCTCCGAATTTCCCTCCGACAGGTAAATATCCGCTTGTCTAATCATCTCAACTCCAGATCTGCAATATCTATAGGAAAAAAATAGAAAATTATTCTAAATTTCTCTTTTTAAAGAAGATAAATATAAAAATAAGTGCTCAAAAAAACGCTTGTAATTATTCTGATTAATGGATGTTAAAATTAAGAATAGTTGACAAAATACAAAAAAATATATGTTTAAAATTTCTATTATATAATTACCTTATAGGTAAAATATTGGGATCCACTGAAACTGCTTTACAATTATCAGAAATAATTTTTAAACGTTGAACGGGATCCATTCTGAATTTTATAGGTTATATTCTTTGCACTGCACAAATACTATATTATAAAATTGCACTTTCCAATTTGAATTTTCACTGCACTTTTGCATTACATATTCTTCTTAACATTTACATTATCAGAGTGTCAATATTTTAAAATGACACTCTGCTATCGTGAAAATTTAGAGAATGTAATTTATAAATCTAATCTCAAGTTATAAATACATGTATATACAACACCAGCCAGCCAAAAAGTGCAATAAAACTGACATGAATCACAACTTCAGGATCTGTACACACTTTGCTTGCATGAATGTGAACGCTCACTTATAAAATATGACGTAGTGTACGCGGAATATTTGAATTTACTATTTGTAAATTTTTGAAGTTTTTTTTAAAAATCAATTTGTTATCAACGTCACAGTTTTTTCTTTATTTAAAGATTTTCTATGTTTTCATTATAAACCGAATTTTTTCGTTGGGAAAATATATTTTATTAATCAAATTTCTATTTTGATCTCTTATTGATTTTTTCGATGCAGTTAAATTTAACTTCTATTCTATTCTAAAATAGAATTTTTATTGAATCGAATTTTAATAAGAGCAGAATTTCTATAGAAGCAACTATTTATAAATTTGAATAGAAAATTTCTCTGGAATAGAAATTCTATTAAATTATAATTGTGTTTAATTTAGAAAGTTCTACTAAGTATATTTAGTAAAATATTATAGTAATTATATTATCAGAGTTGCCAAAAAAATTCGATTTAGTTTTTCCCCTGATTTTTAGACAGAATTTCACCCTTTTTACTGATTAAAGAATATTCTGATTCACTCCAAAAATTATTAGATAAACAAAAATATTTAATATAAAAAAATATTTTCTAATACATTTATTTGTGAACATCTTTAAGCAGAAAATTATTCGAAACAAAACAATTTTTTTAGACAAATATTTAATTATTATTTTTTTTCTTTAATAGAAATTAAAATTTTCAAAAAATTCAAATTTAAAACCTTTTGAAATTCAATAATTTATGCGACTTGATACGGTAATTTCTATAAAATTATTTTCAACATTTTAATTCGAAATTATCTTCTATAATTTTTGATTAAAATTCTTTTCTAAATTAGTTATTTTTAATAATTTTTGAGAAAGTTCTTCGCGATTTTAATTATTCAAAGATTTACAATTTGGAGAGAAAATGCGACAAACAAAAAATTTGATATAAAAAATACTAAAATTTAAAAAAAATTATATGAAATTTAGGAAAATTATAATTATTAAAATTTAATTAATATTTAAATTTAAGTATTTTTAATATCAAAATTTCACTTTTTTGCATTTTCTCTCCAAATTGAAAAATACTTTTAACAAAATTTAATAATTATTTTCTCTCCGTGTAATTCAAATTATTTACGTTAGTTTATCTAATAGAATGCAGACCTTTAAAAATTCATAATTAACATTTAAATAATTAAAATATTTATTAATACCTAGTATTTTCTAGAAAATAAAAAATATCAATTTTCAAGAAATAAAATTGACAATCAAAAAATTTATTTATACAATTTAAAAAAGATTCGATTTTAAATTGTATTTAAATGTATAAATTGTACGAACAAATAAATTTTATAGCTGATTAAAATTTTTTTTCTTGAAAATTAATATTTGATGTTTCAGCAAATTTTATTAATATTAAAAGTTTTATTTTTTAAATGTTAATTGATTGTTTTCTAAAGTCTGTATTGCTTTAGATGAAAGTTCTTAATATTTTCTTAAATTTCAGTTTGAAAACTATTGAAATGAAATTATTTATAAAAACTTTAAGCGCAACTTTTCTAAAATTCAATTACTTTTGTAAATTTAAAAGTGAAGTTATTAGCTAAATACCAAAATACAGTTTTCTTATCAATTTTAAAAATTAAATATTTTTCCAGTACTTTTGATAAAATTCTCTTTCCCTGATTTCGCTAATCTGTGGCAACCCTGATTAAATAATAAATATATTAATATATACTATACAAATATATTATATTAATATATTTAGAAGAATTTTCTATTGAAAAATAAAAATATAATTTCCCAGTTAACATTTTGTTATTCGTTAATTTAAATTCAACAGAATTTTTTTTGAATAAAAATATTTGTTTCAAATCAATATCCATAATTTATTGATTACTCACGTGCACTCGCTGATTTTCCGGCGTCAAGGTAAATTTCATCGTTGGAACATTATATTCGACTTAATTTCGTTTAAAAGCTGATGAACATTGACTTAGTTAATTTTCAATAAGCTCCAGAATATTTTTAATATGACGATCAGGTTATCTTGTCACAGAATTTGGTCCTCAAAAAATTTAGAATGAGTGGGAACTTGAAGAGGAGTTTGTAATTATATTCCATCTTTGATTCACTTAATTTTCACTTTCTTCTTTTGTAATTATATTTCATCTTTGATTCACTTAATTCGCACTTTCTTTTTTTGACAAAATTTCCCAATACGTCTATAGTAATTTCATTCATAATCGGGTAAAATCCACGAATTTTTGAAACAATTTCTTCGGCTATCCTGAAAAATAAATATTGTTTTAAAAATCGAAAATTTGAGACATTGTGAAAAAGAGCACTCCACAAAAGTATTTTTGAAAAACTGCATATTTGTAGTTTTCAAATATCGCATAGTAATTTTATTCATAGTTGCAGAAATACAAAAAAAAATATAAATAATAAATTATATATTTTGGCAGCGCACAAAAAATCACTTCCGAACAGTATAATTGCTTTGAGTTAATTTTCCGTCAAATTTTAGTCACTCTTTGTGTAGAGGACTTTCAAAACTGAAAACCACTTCGCGGACAGACTTAGTTCCGGTATCATAATTCGCTCTTACGCCTAAGGTGAGATAGTTTATTGCAAGCTAAGTAATTCTAAGATTTCAAGTACAGACATTAAATTTCCGAACCTATTGCTACGAGATTTTTTGCTGACATCGCGTGAGAACGGAATTTGTATCAGCGATTCCATTACATTAAAATTTTACAGTCAACTGAAAATTGTAACAAAATAAAATTCTATGATTTATGAAAACAGTTTTCATAATGAAAAGTGAATAATTTATTTCTATTCTTCCTATATACGAACGGAATTTTTTATTACTTGTGAAAATTTCAACAAAATTTGTTTTTTTTCAGATTTTAGAATTTGAAATTGGCAAAAATCAATTGCAGGTTTGCCACAAAAAATTAATTTTGTTTTTCCCTGACTTTTCCCTGATTTCCAGACAAAATTTTGAATTTTTCCCTGACCCTAAAGAATATTCTGATTCACTCTAAAAATGATTATAGATAATTACAAAATGTTCTATTACATTTATTTACGAATTTCTTTAATTCCAAAATTATTCGAAAACGCATCAATGAAATTCCTCGAAAAATGTAATTAATTTCAAAATTTTTTTGCAAGAATTCAATTACATTTCACAAATAATGAAATTCTTCGCTGAAATTCAAATATTTTCAAAATCTACTATTTTAATAAAATTTCTCAAAAGAATTTAGTTATTTAATTTTTTTTAATTTTAGTTATTTAATATTATTTAGTTATTTAATTTTTATTTTTTTTTTATTTAGTTATTTTTTAATTTATTTAGTTATTTAAATAAAATGTAATAAAATTCGTTGAAAGAATTCAATTATTTTCTTAAATAATAAAAATCTTCACTGGATTTCAATTATTTAAAAGAAATGTAAAAAAATTCGTTACAAAAATTGAATTATTTTTATAAATATTAACAGTATTCTTCACAAGATTTCATTTATTAAAAAAAATGTAAAAGAAATTCGTTGTAAGAATACAATTATTTTCATAAATAATAAAATTCTTCACAGAATTTCAATTATTTAAAAGAAATGTAATAAAATTCGTTGCAAGAATTCAATTATTTTCATAAATAACAATATTCTTCATAGGATTTCAATTATTTAAAAAAATGCAATAAAAAATCGTTGCAAGAATTCATCTATTTTCCTAAATAATAAAATTCTTCACAGGATTTCAATTATTTTTATTAAAATTCTTCAAACGAAATTAATTATTTTTTATAATTTTTGCAAAAGTTTCTTGAGAATTTTCAAATCCATTTGTTTACAATTCAATAATATAACAAAATTTCTATTATTCGGAAATTCTTCAATTAAATTATTTAGAAAATAAAAAATTTTTAAAAAGTATGAAAAATTAACTTAAAAGTATGAAAAATTGAAATTTTCAAAGATTTTAATTTGAAACCTTTTCAAAATTCAATTATTTCTAAAAATTCATGTTATAATGCATTTAATATTCAATTATTATAAAAATTTTTAAATAATTGAATTTTTTCGACGACTTTTAATAAAATTTTCAAGAATAATTACATTTTTCGAGGAATTCAATTAAAATTGTATTAAAAATACTTGAAATTTGTGAAAATAATTGAATTACTGCGAAGAAATTTATAAAAAATTTGTAAACAATTGAATTCCTGTGAAAATTTTATTATTTATGGAAATAATTTAAAGTTTTCTTAGAATTCTATTAAAACTTTTTTTTAAATAATTGAATTCTGTTGAAAAATTTTATTAAATTAGTAAATATTGAAAATCATTGAATTGAGGAAAATTTTTTAAAATAATTGAAATTTTGCCAAGAACTTTATTAAAATTTTTTAAAATAATTGAATTTCGGAGAAGAATTTTATTATTTTTAAAAATAATTGTTATTTTATAGAGAATTTAAAAAAATTTTTGAACATAATTAAATTTCTGCGAAGAATTTTATTACTTTTAAAAATAATTGAATTTCTCCAAATATTTGTAACTTCTTCAAAATGCAATTTTTTTTTAGTGTTTATAACTAAAATTCTTCTTGAAATCTATTATTTTTTATAATTCATTAAAATATATAATCAAATATATATTAAAAAATTTAACTCGTTTCAGAAGAATTTGAATTATTAAAATTTTTCAAAAATCTAATTTCTTTAAAATGTCTTATTGAATTCAATTAAAAATTAAAACTTCATAAAATTTGAAATTAAAACCTTTTGAAGTTCAGATATTTATGAAAATTATAAACACAATTTTTTAAAAATTTTTATGAGAATTTTATTATGAAATCTAAAAATTTAATTTTTCCCCAGTACTATTAGTGAAAATCTCTGACATCTCCCTGATTTTCCTGACCAATCATACTTTCCCTAAATTATCTGATTTC